CACTAGAGTGGATCGGCAACCAACAGAATGGGAAAAAATTTTCGCAGTCTACCCATCTGACAAAGGGCTGATATCCAGAATTTACAAAGAACTCAAACAGATTTACAGGAAAAAAACAAACAAGCCCATTCAAAAGTGGGCAAAGGATATGAACAGATATTTTACGAAAGAAGACATATGTGAGGCCAACAATCATATGAAAAAATGCTCATCGTCACTGGTCATCAGAGAGATGCAAATCAAAACCACATTGAGATACCATCTCATGCCAGTTAGAATGGCGATCATTAAAAAATCTGGAGACAACAGATGCTGGAGAGGATGTGGAGAAAAAGGAACACTTCTACACTGTTGGTGGGAGTGTAAATTAGTTCAACCATTGTGGAAGACAGTGTGGCGATTCCTCAAGGCCTTAGAAATAGAAATTCCATTTGACCCAGCAATCCCATTACTGGGTATATATCCAAAAGACTATAAATCGTTCTACTATAAGGACACATGTACACGGATGTTCATTGCAGCACTGTTTACAATAGCAAAGACCTGGAATCAACCCAAATGCCCATTGATAATAGACTGGATTGGAAAAACGTGGCACATATACACCATGGAATATTATGCAGCAATCAGAAATGATGAGTTTGTGTCGTTTGTAGGGACATGGATGAATCTGGAGAACATCATCCTCAGCAAACTGACACAAGAACAGAAAATGAAACACCGCATATTCTCACTCATAGGTGGGTGATGAAAAATGAGAACACATGGACACAGAAAGGGGAGTACTAAACACGGGGGTCTGTTGGGGGGAAAAGGAGAGGGCCAGTGGGAGGGGGAGGTGGGGAGGGATAGCCTGGGGAGAAATGCCAAATGTGGGTGAAGGGGAGAAGAAAAGCAAAGCACACTGCCATGTGTGTACCCACGCAACTGTCTTGCATGCTCTGCTCATGTACCCCAAAACCTAAAATCCAATAAAAAATTAAAAATAAATAAATAAATAAATAAATTTCCTGCTAAAGTAGATGAGGTAACATCTCATTCTCATTCCTGGTGCTATGTATTTTTACTTTCTCTTTATTGACCAATCTTGATATTTGTTTATTCATAGATATTCTCACATCAGCCAATTCTTAGATTTACTTATTGGTCCTGTTATTCTTTCTGCTTCCTAATTCATTTGTTTTGTTTCTATGTTCATTAATTCTTATCCATATTTTTTCTGCTTATTTTGTTGTTTATATGCTTAAAGTAGCATAAGTGGATTTATTTTCATACTTAATTCAATAATAAAGACGTTTAAGGTTACATATTTTTTTCTATGAGTATGTGTTTGGTCTTATCCCAGGAATTCGACACATAGTATTTCTTAATCATTAATTTCTAAATAGCTTGCAGTTGCTTTTTGGACTTTATTTTTCTTCTAAGAGCTATCTGGGAGTGTTTTCTCATTTCCAAGTAGTTGAATGCTTAGTCTTTTAAAAGTTTGCTAATAACATAGGATTTTATTGCATTATGTTTAGAAAACCTGGCCTATTTAACTTTTGTGTTGGAGATGTACGAGGTTAATCTTTGTGGCCTAATAATAACATTTAGAAATGATAATGGGTATAGACCATCTCTATAGTATGGTATTTGATATTTTTGTTTTAATTTGATTTTGTCAAAAATTTTCTTTCATTATATTTGATTTCTGTTCATTTCTCTTGGTATTTATGATAATTTTTGCTTTGTATATCTTGAAATATTCACAACATAAGCATCAATGATAATTATAGCTTCATTATCAATTGTACCTTTAATTCATATAAAATAACCTACAAAATAGCTTCTTTGTATAAGAGAATATTGTTTTGCCCAACTTCTATTTTGATAATAATATGATGACCTTTACTTAGTTTTTGTTTATATTTCCCTGATGTGCTCTTGATCTTCCTTTTATTTTTACCTCTTTTGGGTCATTTTATTTCAGTGGAGTTTTTTCGTTTTGTTTTGTTTTTGAGACAAGGTCTTGCTCTCTCTCCTAGGCTGGAGAGCAATGGTGCAAACACAGCTCACTACAGCCTCAACCTCCTAGGCTCAAGTGATCTTCCTGCCTCAGCCTCCCAAGTAGCTGGGACTGCAGACCTGTGCCACCACGCCTGGACAATTTTTTTATTTTTTATAGAGACGAGGTCTCACTATGTTGCCCAGGCTGGTCTCAAACTCCTAGGCTCAAGCGATTTTTCTCCATCAGCTTCCCAGAGTGCTGGGATTACAGGTGTGAGCCACTGTGCCTGGCCTGTTTTTATTTTTTTGTAAAATTCCTATAGCATTGCCTTCTGACATTCTGTGGCTATAACAGAGAAATGAGATAGCCGATTTTTTTGGTTCCTTTTTAGGTAGCCAAATATTTTTTTTCTAGATGCTTATGGATATTTTCCCCTTATCTCTGTATTTCAGAAATGTTGCCAGGAAGCAATTAATTGTAGAGTTTTTTCTTTTTATGAACTTTTCCCATAATGCAATGAGTACTTGCATGCACAGATCTTTTTTTTCAGTTCAGAAAATGTTTCTTCTACTATATTCATACTGCTTATCTATAGGTTGCCTCTCTGGTTTTTGTCTCCCAAATCTGCCATATTATCTGCCAGTTCTTTCCATGTCCGTCCTTATACTCTTCCTCCTGACAATAGGAATCAGGCTGACCAGCATTCTCATTGCCTCACCAATCAGCATCTGTCAGGAAGACAGATGGATGCCTGGAAATCTGCTTAATACACATCCAGGATATTTGAGTCAGGGATGTGGAGAGGGGAAGTTTCAAGTATCATGAGTTCAAGCCCAGAGAGGCTGTTATTTGTCTAGCTCCATTTGCCTTAGAATTTGGGGTTTTGAGCATCACTGTGCTCTTCAGTCTTAGATTTCAGGGAGCTTGGTGAGTTTTCATATTTTTCTGTGTTTTCTTAGGTACTTTGACTAAACGGCTCAGTTAGATCTGATTTATAAATGTGGCATTTAGCCATCCTAACTTTCATGAGGCCAATTAGAATAAGATCTGAAAAACTTGTTGTGATATTATTTTATTTTAAAAATAGGTACATAATAGTTGTAAATATTTATGGGGTACATGTGACATTTTTATATATAAATATAATGTAATGATCAAAATAGAATATCCATCACCTCAAACACTTATCATTTCTTTATTGGGAACATTCCTCATCTTTTCTTATAGCTATTTTGAAATACACTATTAATTCTTGTTAACTATAGTTACCCTATTGTACTTTCAAATACTAGAACTTATTCATTCTGTCTGTGTTTTTGTACTCATTAACCAACCTCTTTCATCCCCTTTTCTTCAGACTCAGCAGGGGATTCGGAGCTCCTTTTGAGCCCTCCTGTTCTCTTTCTCTGCTCCTTGTACCTGTGGGTGAGGTCATCCTCTTAGTTAAACCACCACCAGGTTGGGGAGGAGGATTCTCTTTGATACAGATACAGAGGATGTGATGGAGTGAGTGTTTTCAGACCTGTTCTGTCCCCCTGGCCATCACTGGGACTCCATAGTTATTTGTAGGAAAAATATTCAAAGAACTGTGGTATAGACTATATAGACCTTCCAACATCAGCGCCACCTGCCTGCCTTTGCCTGGGGCCCTGTGCTTTTGATATGTCCTCCTTGCTGCTAGGCATGAAGCAAAGAGGTAATTTCTTGTCTTGTCTGGTGAACCCACAGAGAGGAGGAAGTGATCCCATACTGGTCAATTTGAATTAGAAATCCTTGACTTTGGAAGTTCGTTGTTGTCCTTGGCAGTCTAACTGGGCTTTTGGACCACTGCTGTCCCTGCTATCTGTGTTTGCAGAGCACCTGCCCTGGAGGTGCATCACCTCTGGTTGGCATAGGCCCTTGTGTGTGCTTCTTGACATGAGTGATTGAAGGCCTGCTCTGCTTGCTGGATGTTAGCCCAGCACCCAGTCTGCCCTCGCTTTTGTAGACCATGTCATCACTTCCACTAACGGCATACTTGATGCAGGATATGCATCACATCATGCTGCAGTAAGGTTCACAGAGATGGTAAAAGCTTCCAAAGAGCATCCTGATCCATTAAAATCTTCTGTGGGAGCTGGGAAAGGCAGCATCAGGAGGCTCACACCCAGACACCAATTTAAGCCAGAATCCTTTCTTATTGATTCTCTTACTGGTTCCTAGATGCTCACTAATCCAGGCACGGTGACTCAGATGCCCTCTGCTCCCTTCCTGAGGCATGTAGGCAGTGTGATCATGGTTAATGGGATAGACTGGATGTCAACTCCTAGACCCTTGCATGCCCAGAAGACAAGACTATCAAACCCTCTAGGTCCATTTCCAAATCCCTTCCACATCCCCCCAAATTCCTAGAAAGAACCACCATAAAGCTAAGGGACTGCATACCCAGAGAGGAGCCTAGGTACCCGAGCTGAGGCCTCTGGCCTTTCAGCCAGCCACAGCTACACTCACTTCTAGAAGTTTATGACTTGTTAGAAAATCTTGAGGAAGTTACTTCCAGGCTGATCTGGCTTTCTATTTGCCCTGTTTTTAAATCACAGAAAATGTTATTACATGGTCTCATTAAAACAATGTAGTGGCAGTTTTAATGACTAGTAACTTCATTAAAAATAACTGATGAAATATACCTGTGTTTCTAGTCAGACATTTATTATTGCTTTGATTCAGTGCCCATCTTCAGAGTTTATGGTAAGCGTAGAATTCCTAGAACCCTTCATTCTGTGGCCTTGAGACTTGCCATGATATTTTAGCAAAAGCTTATCTAAATGAGCAGACTTTATTGGGCACAAATGTACCTGTGGACTCCTCCCCCAGGTAAGGGTCAAAGACTGTTTAATTCCCTGCCCGGGAAAGTCTCTTGTGCAGTTTTAATGCCTGTGAGAATTTGGAGAACACTGGAGCTTGGAGTACACTGGAGCCAGGAAGGGGAGGACAGATGGGCCCTGGCCCTAAGAGAACTGCACTGTCCCTGCAGATGTCTCCATGATGACACCCATCAATGACCTCCACACGGCTGACTCCCTGAACCTGGCCAAGGGGGAGCGGCTCATGCGGTGCAAGATTAGCAGTGTCTACCGACTCCTGGACCTCTATGGCTGGGCCCAGCTGAGTGACACCTATGTCACGGTGAGCAGAGCACCCTGGAGCTGGGTGGGGCACTGCATGTGGTCCCACAAAACCCAAAGGGAGAACTCCTGACCCTTGGCATGGCCATGGCACTGCTGGTGACCTTTGGCCAAAATGCCCTTTGAAGGTTTCTAACCACTGTAGTCACTGATAAAGCAGCCTGCCCAGCGGGCACTTCTTTGGATGGGAAGGAACTCCTGGATCTTATATGTAGAGCTACCCTCGACCACTGTGAGTTTCCTTTTGTAGCTCCCTTTCCCCTTCTCCAAATAAAGGCTGAGGCCTTTTTATCTCTCATGCGTGGGGGAGAAATAAGGGTTAATTAGAGGAAGACTTGGGTGCAGAGGGTTCAGGGGAAGAGAGCATTCAAGCACAGTGTCCTTGGAAATGTCCTTCTGCCTCCTTGCCCCTGAGAACGTGTGTCTTTCTTCCAGTTGAGAGTCAGCAAGGAGCAGGACCACTTCCTGATCAGCCCTAAGGGAGTTTCTTGCAGTGAAGTCACAGCGTCCAGCCTGGTGAGTACAGTCCAGCATCACTGCCCACTCCTTATGGAAATGACAGCACTCTCCCTGTTCCCATAGTGCTAGGTCCTCTCCAAATTGGTCACTGTTGCACTGTGGAGCTCACAATCTGGTGGGGCAGAGAAGACACATGGAACAAACTAAGTGTCCAGAGCATGATACGACCATGAGACCAGTTGCCAGGAGGAGGCAGCAAGTGCGGTGGGAGGGAGGAGGGAGCGGAGATGGGCCTGGTGTCCTCTCAGTAGACTCATGGGATGGCTAAGCCTGGGATTAGACCACAGTGGTTGGGAGTGGGGAGCCTTTCTGGATATGGGGTACATTAGAATAAGAACCAAAGCAGCACGAGGTTTGTCCAGTGCCAGTACCATTAGAGATGCTTCTGCATCCCTTTTCACTGTTGCTCCTTTTAGATGAGATAGAGGCTTTCAAAAGTTGCTTTAGTTCAGGAAAGATTTCTGGTTGGGAGGAGGAAAGCCATAGAAAGGACTGTCTTAGAAGCAGAAAAGCCCCAATTCTTCTCAGATACATGGGCTGCGGCTGCTGTGCCGTGCACCTTGGAGAGGAGGACACCATCTCAGGGGCCTCTGCCTGGCTTGAGACATGCTCAGGTGTAGAGTCCAGCCTCTCACTCAAAAGCTCAGGCTCAGTAAGTCACAGAATATCTAGGCAGGGCAGGACTTCTACCATGCCAAGGCCACTTTAGAGGCAGGAAAGGACACTGGTGCCCAGGGAGGGTAAGCACCTTGCTCAAGGCTACACAAGGAGGTGATGGCCAAATCAGAGCTAGGACCACAGAGACAAGGATGACACGGGCTCTGTCTATAAGGTGTTCATGGTCTGGTTGGAGGAGAGAGGTGAGGTAATCAGCTATTAAAGCTCAGAATACAGAGTGTTCCGGTAGAGGTGAAGGAAGATTGGGGAACCTGGAAAGGGGTACCCTACCCCGCCAGGAGCTGTAGGAGGAAGAGGGAATGAGGGAGGAAGAGGGAATGAGGGAGGAGGCTTCTAGCTAAAACCATGGTACAGGAGTGAAGTCAGTGGGATATGAGTCAGTGGGGTGAGCAAACTTAGACCATGGTGGCAAGGAAAGGTTTGGCAGATGTGACTATGTCCTCAGCAGGAGTGCAGCATGTGTGAAGCCCAGATGCATGCAGGAGCCCCATGCATGCCTTTGGGAGGACAGGCAAGTGGCCGAATCTGGCTCAAGTGTTCAGTATCTGGAGGTGACCTGGGAAGGGGATAGGGTCCAGGTGATAAATGGTATGGAAGGTCTTATTACGGTATTTGGCTTTATTCTGCTGGACACATAGAGCCACTGAAGTGCAAGCAGAGGAAGAATGCAAGCAGGTTTCTATTGTAGAAAAATCACTCTGAAAGCTGTGTGGAGGCCAACTGACATCTAGGTGGGGTTATTATAGCAAGCTGGGAAGGAAATTCTGGGCCTCTAGGCCTAGTGGGCCTGGTGATCAGTTGGGTTGGGAGGGGATTGAGTTTGAGGAACTGGTGGGACATTCAAGAGATGTCAGTTGGCGTTTGGTTATCCTAGGTTCAGAAGGGATGCAGGCTAGGGACACAGGTTTACGCCATGGGCATGAGATGTTTATGGAGTGTGTGTAGACATAGGGCTGCTACGTGTGATTGTGCAGTTTGTGCACTGCACAAGGGAGCCTGGCTAATGAGGAAGAGAAGAGAGAGTGAAATCTAACCTGTGCTCCACTCACTAAGTATGTCCTAGCATTGGGCTTCTGTTTTGAATTTGCACAAAGGCAATACCCACACACCAAGCCCTGTGTCCCTGGGCTGTCCTCAAGAGAGTGGTACCTGCTTTCTCATTTATACAAATGACAAAACTTCCCCTTGGCCAGGTTCAGGGAATCAGCCGTTTGTATACAAAGGTACCGTATGGGAGATGGCTGTTGTATTAGGCTGTGGAGGTTCTTAAGTGTCAACAGATCACACATCCAACGATAAGATATACAATATATAAGATCAGAGAGAGATCATCTGAGGGGGGGAATTCTAAACAGGCCATGTGTCCAAGGAAGTAGGGGAGCTGGGCTGAGGGAAACTGGAGGGTAGCACTCCACACTCAGTTTTAAAGTACCTGAGATGGGAGAGTTGCTGCAGCTTCCAGGGGTCACTCTGCTTTGACATCTGTGTACTTCACTTAAAATAGGATGTTGTAAGTGGAGATTTGTTGAACATCTTCCTGATGCTGCATAAACAAACATCAGCAGCACATTCCTCTGCCCACATTAGAGTCGGTCTCCCTGCTTTGATCCCCATCTTGACTGCCTGGGCTTTCTGGGGTGGGGTGGTGGGCAATTTGAGGAACTGCCCTGTGTGCCACATTCAGGATGTTATGAGTGCTTCAGTTTTAAGGGCTAAAGTTGTGAGTTTTAGAGACTATTATCTGGCTTGTTAATGTCCAGGGAACAACTGTAGTCAGTGAAGTTAGGTTAACTCACAGCTGCCGGGAGATTGCACTCAGAGAACCAGGGGAGGTGTTCAGTGAAAATGCATTGGAAGGTGCTGGTTTCAGGATTTGGATTTGTGCTGGATGATTCGAGAGAGTCTGTTTACCTTGGATTGTGGGCTTTTGGGACAGGGGAAATTCTGATTGAATATTTTACTACTTTTAATCCAGGAGGCAGGGGAGTGGGGGCGTGGAGTGAGGCTAGAGCTGTCATTGGTAAAGCAGCCGCAGCCTCTCTGAGCCTCATTGAGAAAGGGCTCAGTGTAGACATTACTTCCACTGGAAGGCCTCTCAGATGCTCCTGTTCTGCTGGGATGAAAGACTCCACCTGTGTCTGTCTAGAGTATTCTGTGCATCAATCTGTTCTAGCACTTTGCTACCCCACATGTGGTCTGTGGATCACTTGAGAACTTGTTAGAAATGCAGGCTCTCAGGCCCCCCTCAGCCTATGAATCAGAACCACATTTGACTGGACTTTGGGTGATTCATGTTCACAGTCAAATCTGAGAAACTCTGCTCTTGCATTTCTCCTGCTGAATTATAATCGTCTGTGCTCACCTTAGACTGCGTGCTCACTGAGGGCAGAAACTGGTTTGTTTTCTTCCAACACCAAGTCCGTCATTGCTCATGGTGTCTGGAATGCGTGAAGATAGGTTGGCAGCACAGGCTGGGCCCACCAGCTGGGAGAGGAGTAAGGGCCTCTGCCACCGTGTTGCCATAAGTTTCTCTTCTTTCCTGGTGCAGATCAAGGTGAATATTCTGGGAGAGGTGGTGGAGAAGGGCAGCAGCTGCTTCCCAGTGGACACCACGGGCTTCTGTCTGCACTCGGCCATCTATGCAGCGAGGCCCGACGTGCGCTGCATCATCCACCTGCACACACCGGCCACAGCAGCGGTGAGTGGACTCCTTCTCAGCCACCCAAGCCAAGACATAAGCCAGCCAAGGCTGTAGCACTCTCGTCATTTAAAACAGTCTGGAAAGATCTAGAACCCAGGCCAAGGTGAAGCGAGAGAACTCCCAATGTGGAAACTCCCAGCCTCTCCATCTTTCTGACTACTGAAGTCAGTATAACGTGAAGAGGTGGAATGTCTGTTCCATCACGTCCCCCACCCTGCTGCATACACAAGCTGGGACTCTTGCCCCGGGAACAGTGCCTCCTAAATTTCTACTCAGGTTAGTCCTATTGGACCAAAGGGTGGGGCCTGCCCCCACAAAGCCAGGCTCTGGTGAGGAGATGTGTTGACAGAGGACAAGTTGGTGGGAACCTGGACTGTGCCCACTTTCCCATAGTTCAGGGTAGGCTGAGAGTAGGGGATGGAGCAGGCAAAACTGTGAGCGAGTAGAAGGAAGAACCTCAAGGCGCAGGTTGTCCCTCTCTGGTCATTTCTCCATGTGTACCTAAGACACTGCAATGTCACTTAGATGGCAGATAATCAGTTCTGGGCACTCCCCCTCATCCCCACCCCATCCTGCTGACCCCCACCCCATCCTGCTGACCCCCGGGCCACATACCTACAGGGACAGAGTAGGCTGACTTGTCATCAGCCTGTTTTCTTAGCAAAGCATACTGGTTATGAGCATTCAGACCTTCCAGAATTTGGACTAAGATGTGAAGATGTATTTGTGCCAAGTGTATATCTTTGCAGAGCCCAGGGCTGAGTCAGGGCAGAATGAGTGAAGGAGGGCAAGGGTTCTTCTAAACCTCTCCATGCGCCTTGCTTTAAAAAAAAAAATTACTGCACATTCTGTCCATGATGAGCAGCTCACTTTTAGTAAGTGATGGCAGAATGGGTTACAACTTGTGTTTCAACCCTGGTCCCCAGCACTTGTATTGTCCCAGTCTCAGGGGCAAGAGATTGCTTTTGAGATGGGACAAAAAGTCCCATTGGGCAGTAAATAATTTCATTCAGTTTAACATGGGACTTTTCAATGGGCCTCTCTGTTTGTCAAAAGTTGTGGCCTTGTCTGCACTGAAACCAAAGCTGAGGGTCTACAGCCTATCCCAAGAGATCTGGATTCTGCTTACCCCAGCTTGGTGCAAATTGCACCACAGCCTGCCTCTTTCCAGAGTTGTGTGACAACAGCAAAGCTGTGTGTGAGGTAGGGGGAGTGGGAGGGGTGTCAATAGCTCTCTGGAGTACATTCTTTCTAGCAATTCAGAAAGGTGATATGTTGACATGGCTGTTGTGAAAACAGTGATGGAAAGATGCTAGAGCAAGCAGCGTGACAGCACAGCCAAGCCAGGGGTGGAGGAGCCCAAGCCTTTCTTGTGCCTGCTCCCCACCCTTACCCCCACCAGCCCCTGGAGTGGAGCTGGACTGTGCTGCTCTGAGGAAAGGGCCAGGAGGGCTGCAGGTGCTAACCACACCATTGTCTCTCTAAGGTGTCAGCCATGAAGTGGGGCCTCCTGCCTGTCTCCCACAATGCCCTGCTGGTGGGGGACATGGCCTATTATGACTTCAATGGGGAAATGGAGCAGGAAGCCGATCGGATCAACCTGCAGAAGTGCCTTGGACCCACTTGCAAGGTTAGCTTAGCTCTTCCGGGACAATAATCTGGAGTGGCACTGTCAAAAGGCAACATCACAAAAGTGACATATGTTCGATGGACAATAAGGGAGGGAGAGAGAGGGAAAAAGAAAGAAAGAGCTCCCTATACCACTTCCCTGAGATCTTGGTGTGTACCCCAAATATATTCAAATTTATATTTGTAAAACTAGGATCATAAAATTAGTTGTTTTTGCCCCAGCAATGTATAGTAAACACCTTTGTATGTTATTCAATATTTTCTCTATCATCATTTAAAATTATTAAATTTAATTAAATGACTTCATTATGTGAATAGTTGTTGTATAATTTACCTGAATACTCTTTTGTGGTTGAACATTAGAAGGTATTTTTCAGTTGGGTGCAGGACTCATGCCTGTAATCCCAGCACTTTGGGAAGCTGGGGCAGATGGATCACTTGAGCCCAGGAGTTCAAGACCAGCCTGGGCAACATGGCCAAATCCCATCTCTACAAAAAACAAAGTTAGTGAGGCATGGTGGTATGCACATGTGGTCCCAGCTACTCAGGAGGCTGAGGTGGGAGGATCGATTGACCCCAGAAGATGAAGGCTGCACTGAGCTATGATCACACTGCTATATGCCAGCCTGGGCAACAGAGTTAGACCCTGTCTCAAAAAAAAAAAAAAAAAAAAGATTAAAACAACACATTGATGAAAATTATTTCAGCTAAATCTTTGTGTGAGCTTGAGAGGAGTTTCTTAGGATAAGTTCCTAGGGATGCATGGGCTAGAACTCGCACTTCACGTCACCAAATTGCCCCACACGGTTCGTTCACTCTCCCACCCCATGTCTAGGATATTACAATCCTACTTCCCTGCAGTGCAGTCTACCCAAACTTGAGTGTCGTTGCAAATTCAGTTTGGGTTTTTCAACTTTTGCTCACTTTTCCCTGACTGAGCCTAAAACATTGCACTAATAGTGAGAACCCCTGGCTTCTAGTTCAGATGCTTCCCCTAATTCAATGGGAGACTTTCAGTTTTTTTGTTTTGTTTTGTTTTTGAGATGGAGTCTTGCTCTATCACTGGTTGGAGTACAGTGGCATGATCTTAGCTCACTGCAGCCTCCACCTCCCAGGTTCATATGATCCTCCCACCCCAGCCTCTTGAGTAGCTGGGACTACAGGCACACACCATCACACCCAGCTAATTTTTGTGTTTTTAGTAGAGATGGGGTTTCACCATGTTGGCAAGGCTGGTATTGAACTCCTGGCCTCAAGTAATGCACCCACGTTGGCCTCCCAGAGTACTGGGATTACAGGCGTGAGCCATTACACCTGGCTGAGACTTTCAGTCTTTTCAGGCTTTTATTTTCTTCGTATCTATAAAACCAGTGAGTTAGATTAAAAGGTCAATGTGGCCTCTTTCTAGAGCTGTGAGATCTCAGAGCTGACAGGGCCTCATTGAGTTTATGGTGCAGAAACCTAAGGCCCAGAGAGGTGATGTGATGCCCCTGTTTCTGTAGGGCCACCTCTCAGAGAACTGCCTCCTGTCAACTAAGTTTTGACTCCCAAGTCAACTAAGTCACAGGAGCAAGAGGCTGCTTTTGAGGTGGGAACTTTGTATTGGACAGCAAATAATTTCATTCACTTTAATGTACGCATCAGTTTTTCAAGCTTCTAAGCTTTCCAAGGCCTAAAAAACCCAGGCATTGCCTAAAGAAATTGACCAAGCTATTTAGTTTCAGTTTTAAAATGACTTTTCAATTTCAATTTTTAAAATGCCTAAAACCCAGGCATTGCCCAAAGAAATTGATCAAGCTATTTAGCCCCAGTTTTAAAGTGCCTTTTCAATTTCTTAGGGTGGACGCTTTGAGTTAAAATCCCATGTGGGGTAGCTTTGGAGTATTTGATTAGAGAAAATAAACAAGGAGTTGGGAAAAGGGGCCCTGGGATTGGTTGTGGAAGTTTATCTAAATAAAATGAAAAACCTCTCCCTCTTAACTAAAGTTTAGGTGGCTTAAGGTTTTAATTGACTGTTTACTCCTCTACAGATCCTGGTGCTAAGAAACCATGGAGTGGTTGCTCTGGGTGACACTGTAGAGGAGGCATTTTACAAGATTTTCCACCTGCAGGCTGCATGTGAAATACAGGTGAGCAGATTCCCTTGGGAAGTGGGCCCAGGGGTGGGCTCTGACGGGCTTGTGGGCAGAAGTGGTGACTCCATTGGCTATGATTCAGGGAGTCTTTTGATCCGGCCTTCTAAAAGCTTTGCCCTATTTCTCTGCCTTGGCACCATTCTATCCTTCTAAAGTTTCACATTTAGGGTTAGTTCTGTGGCTTTGAAAAATGTATCAGTATTGTCTAACAACCAATAAATACCCAATTCTTGAGGGTCAGTGCCCAGTCTGGGGAGTTGCCGGGGCTCATCACCTAGACAGTTGGAGAAACTGTAATAAGGCATAGAAAAGTCTTTACCATGCTCATGTTACGTGGGCTGTACCTGCTGCACCTATGCCTGGCAGACATACAGATAGGTTTTATTTTATTTTATTTTTTGAGGGTGGGGGTTGGTTTGCAAAGGCCAGGAACATGGTCAAGTCCAGAAAGAGGAGTGGAAAGCAGGCCACTTGGAGTGTTGACGTGGCAGCCTTCACAGCCAGGGCAACCCCAAGTGATGTCCAGGAAGCCCATCATGGAGTTCCTAACTGGGAAGGGATGGAGAAGATGGAGTGTCAGTGATCACGGAACCCCTAGAGGAGCTGGTGGAGAAGCAGTAGGAAGACAGACAAACCTGTAGTTGTGTAGACAACAAGGTGGTATTGGATAAGCCAAGCACACACTTTTCAATGTGGCAGGTTGGTCAGGAGTGGGTAGGGGGCCATGCATAACCCTGAAAAGACCTTATTAACCAGGCTGACCGTGCTGACCAGGCTCCATCCACCCCACTCTGGGCTATGTGCCCTTGGGTAGAGGACTTGCTCTACTTGAGCCTCTGTCTCCTCAACTGCAGAAGTGGGGCCCAGCGGGTTGCTGTGAGGACACAAGGAGGGGTGTTGCTGATGGTATTTTTAGGACTCAACTGACGTATGGGAGGCCCGTTGCCCCTGGATGAGTCAGCTCTTTGCCCAGCCCCTTGGTGTCCCGTCTGCCCTCTCCTGCCTGGCCTAGGCAGAGCAGCACCCAGAGGAAGAGGTCTTTCTCTTAGAGGTATTCTGGGGAGATTGAGATCTGCCAGGAAGCATCACTGGTGGAGGCTCTGCAGCAGGACCCTTTCAAATGTTTTTAAAGGAATATGTGGTGAGGACAGCTGTGAAGATAATGATGAAGAAGTATTAAAGGCAGTGGTCAGAGCAGGGGAAGGTGGACACAGACCCAGCTGGTGTCTTTCTGATGTGATGTGGTGTGCCCCCGCCACCCTGCCCAATCAAAGATTCTGGCCCTGAGCTCTGACCACTGACTGCTGGAGAATCTGGTGGAGCCACTGGGATATAGGGAAGCTACTCTCGCTTCCCCACATCTGAACTCTTAAGAGCTCTCCATCTTCTCCTGTAAAAACTTCATCTCTGCAAAGACAGCTCAGTCCTAAAATGAATAGAGACAGATGCCCATGTGTCGTACCACCCCACATGGTGAATTACACCTCTCCCAGGATCCAGACTTCCAGAAACAGTTTCTGGGCAGTTTAAAGGGCAGAGCTGCAGGCTACTGTCCCTGACAGCCCCTTTCCCTCAGCTGCTGTCACACTTTCTTTTGAGGACTGGTTTGCTGAGATCTTGTGACAGGACCTCAGGCAATGCAGAGAGATAACCCCGGGCAAGCTCCAGTGGCCTTTTTTTATCCCCCAGCTGATAGAGCAGAGAGGTTTCTAGAGGCGGGTATAGAGCTGGAGGATGTGGAAGAAAAAAATAGGAAAGCTTAGAGGAGGCGTGGATGGATTGGGGCATGAAAGAGCCTAGGTAGCAGCAACTGCAGGTGCTGCTGGGAGCGCAGCCCTGGCCAGGTCATTTTTGGGTGAAGCAGCCAGCACTGAAGCTCTGTTTCCACTAAGGGCCAAGTTTTCTCCCTTGGTGACCTTGGCAAACAAGCGAACGTGGCTGTGGTCATGTTAGTAGTTCAAGGCTGACAGCCTATTCATTTCTCCTGGGGATGGTGTTCTCTCTGCTCCCCATCAATTTGGGGTTCCAGGAAACTGGGTCATCCCCCGCCGAGAGAGGCAGCTCCCTGCTCTGCTAACAGGCAGATGGGAAGAAGCTCAGGCAATTCTTCTCCATCTGCTACCCATCACTATGGAAACCGGGGGAGAAAAAGCTAGGCAGGAGGAGGCAGCCCTTGCAAGATTGTGGGAATTCTCTCCCTCTCTTCTTCTCCACTAAGGATGGGTCCCCAGGGAATAGCACTTCTCAAAATTCATTCATCCAAACATTTATACAGAACCCCATATATACCAGGTGCTACGCTAAGTGCTTTAGATCTATTACCTTAAAGACTCCTCACAAGGTAGGTACTGCTATTTTCATTTTACAGATGAGGAAACCAAGGCACAGAGATGATAAATAGCTGTTAAAAGTCACACAGTGCATAAGTGGCAGAGCCAAGATTCAAACCAGGATTCAAAGCTGAATGCCCAGGCAGCCTGGTGCCCAGATCTGTGCCCTTAAACACTACCTGGAGAAGCACTGGCTCTCCAGATCTGTGAGGGGCAGTGGGAGAGGTCTGTCTTCTGCTGGATATGTGCCTTGGATGAGAAGGGCATAGATAATGTTATTGCTTCCTTCTCTTCACAGGGTGATGGGGGTCACCTGGGAGGGCTGCGTGGCTGACCTCAGAGAAGTGTCACAGGGGCATTTGTTAAATGATGAATTTAACATACTCCAAGGTCTGTTCCTGATCCTCTTGGGTGCATAGAGCTGTATTTGTCAGCAGGTTAAAGTGGATTTTTTATTTCCAGAAAAAAGTAACTGTCACAAAAATACTGAAAGTTTGTGTAATTACAGCAGTTTCCCATAACAAGCAGGCTAACATGGGATATCATATCTTACTCAGAATGCGAATATAATAATGTACAGTGCAAAACACCTGGCTCACTACCTGGAATATTCAAGAGCCATTGTCTCTTTATGTAGCTGGATTTATCATCTAGGAAGCCAAACCCTAACCAATTATATCTGAGTGGTAGATACATGGGGTTAAATAGAATGTACCATAGATGAGCATGGAATTAAATAAATAAGGGGATGTGTTAGATTAACGAATGTTTTTAGGATCATTCTAAAATTGCCTGCTGGCCAGGTGCGGTGGCTCAAGCCTGTAATCCCAGCACTTTGGGAGGCCGAGGCGGGTGGATCACGAGGTCAACAGATCGAGACCATCCTGGTCAACATGGTGAAACCCCGTCTCTACTAAAAATACAAAAAATTAGCTGGGCATGGTGGCGTGTGCCTGTAATCCCAGCTATCCAGGAGGCTGAGGCAGGAGAATTGCCTGAACCCAGGAGGTGGAGGTTGTGGTGAGCCGAGATCGTGCCATTGCACTCCAGCCTGGGTAACAAGAGTGAAACTCCGTCTCAAAAAAAAAATAAAAAAATAAAAAAAAATTGCCTGCTATATACACACACCTCTTATCCTAACACTCATAGTCCCTTGTCTATAACCACTTGCATTGCCCTCCCCATGGAGCGTTGACAATGGGACAGACACTCTAAGTCTGTGGGTGGGAACTCTCACCCCTGCACAGTGCTTTGCTGTACATGTACACTATAGGCATTTTATCTGTCTCCTTTTTCTGGGTTTCCTTGACTGACTAACCCCATTGTAGAGAATGCATTCTCCTTTTAGACCTGTGAATCCATCCCATCAGGTTACAACTAGAATTCATGGCTTGGGAGCCAGCCTGTTTCATTCAAGTGACATTTAAAAATATATAGGAGAGGCCAGGCATGGTGGTTCATGCCTGTAATCCCAGCACATTGGGAGGCCAAGGCAGGTAGATTGCATGAGCCCAGGAGTTTGAGACCAGCCTGGGCAACATGGCAGGACCCCATCTCTACAAAAAATACAAAAATTAGCTGGATGTGATGGTGCACATCTGTAGTCCCAGCTACTCAGTAGGCTGAGGTGGATGGATAGCTTAAGCATGGGAGGTTAAGACTACAGGGAGCTGAGATTGTGTCACTGCATTCCAGCCTGGGCAACAGAGACCCTGTCTCAAATTGAAAATAAAAAACGGAGATATTTCAAACATACAGAAAATTGCGGAGACTAACATAATATACACCCATACCTACCACTCAGATCAAACATATTCATAACCTTTGGCTTCAAATCTTGGAGAAACAAAATACTACATCCAAGAATTGCCTTCCTTTCTAGTCTCATCTTCCCTCCCTCCTCAGATATAGTCACAATTCTAGGTTGGTCTATATCCCAGGTTACTTACAGTCTCTGTTTTGTTTGATTCTTAAGGTTTTAACACTTGCTATTTCCTTCCTTATAATCTCTAAGAACTGGCATCAGGAAATAAACTAATAGCTGTTTTCTTGGAAATGAGTGCATGCCCATTAAGTGTGGGTGGCTCTTTATCAGTTTGGCAGACATATCTGGTCTCTAAGCTCTCCTCGGTGACCCCCATTCTCCCATCACATACAGGAGCATAGATAATTGCAGGAGACCTGTATGCATCTGGGCTGAGGGCTCTCTGCTCTTTGCTGCAGGTGTCAGCTCTGTCCAGTGCCGGGGGAGTGGAGAACCTCATCCTCTTGGAGCAGGAGAAGCACCGGCCCCATGAGGTGGGCTCTGTGCAGTGGGCTGGGAGCACCTTTGGGCCTATGCAGAAGAGCCGGCTGGGAGAGCACGAGTTTGAGGCCCTCATGAGGATGCTAGACAACCTGGTAAGTCTCCTGCCATTGCCCTTCCAGGCCAGTCTGTTGAGGCTTAGCCCTCTGGAACCAGGAAGTACAGGCATTAGGTGGGCACAAGAACTGCCAGCATCACAGGTTGTTGAAGCCTCATTGATAGGAAATTTTATTTAGAATGCATAGTTATTCTAATAGTAGTTGCATTTTCACAAATTGTAAACTTTGCCATCCTCAACTAAGTGCTGTGGATGTTGTCATATCTGCAGAGTCCTCTGTGAAAAGATGTAGTCCAGTAAAAACCAGAACACAGAGCCTATCTTATATTGGGGCTTTGCTCATACCTCTTACATAGTTAGTTCTGCCTTTCTGTCCAATCTCATGACTTGAATGCAGAAAGCACATAATACTACTGATTTCCTTAATCCTAGGCAGCACCTTTTTGACAGTCCTATTACAATGAATAAATGAACTAATCAATCATGTAACAAATTAAACTGATATGTGTCTAGGATTGGGCTGGCTCTTCAAAGGATGCAAAAAAATTGTAAGACATTCTTCCTTCTTCTAAGGGCTAACAATTTAGCTGATAATATGGGATATAAACAAGTGACAATTCAACAAGAGGAAAGCATATGCAATAAGGAGTGCTAACTGCATAAGAGACTGTAACTTCTTAGATTGCTCAGAGAGGTGAAAGATGTTATTTATCTTTATAACATTCTGTCTGATTCATTTTTCTCATCCTCACTGCTACTGTCTTGGGCCATCTTTATCATGTCAAGGTTATTGAAATAATTAATAATGTTTCTCCTTGTCCTCATTTCCTCCAAATCGTCTCTACTTTGTTACTAGGCTGACCATGAGGGCCACTTTATAATGATGAAAGGCACAATCCACAATAAAAATACAACTCCCATTAACATTTGTGTGCTGAGTAATCTATGCCTAAATAAAGCACCATGACTAGATGGTTTCATACAATAATTCTTTCCAACCTTTAAGACACAGGTAATTCTTAAGTTATTTAAAGTGTTTCAAAGAGGAATTAAAAAAGAATACTAAGCCATAATAATTGTAACAATAACTTAGACCAATTTTTCTCTGAATGTTGATGAAAAATGATGCACAAAAACTAGTAAATACCATCAAGCCTAATAATAGAATAATCATATACAATAACTGATGGCTCATTTCTGGAATTCAAGGATGGCTTAATAATATAAATTTATCAATCTTTTAAAGGTATTTCATGATACTGAAGCATCAAAGGTTAAAAACTTTTTATCTGTCCAGTATGGTGGCTCACACCTGTATTTGCAGCACCTTTGAAGGCCAAGACAGGTGGATCAATTGAGTCCAGGAGTTCAAGACCAGCCTTTGCAAAATAGTGAGACCCTGTCTCTACAGAAAATACAAAACATAGCCAGGCACGGTGGCATGTGCCTATGAAACTTTTAAATAAAACAATTATTCTTGGTCATAGCACTATTATTTAATATTATTCTTGAATAATATTGGAATTCAATCCAAGGCAATGAAGCATAAGAGGTATAAATATTGTAAAAGAAAGGAAATTATTATTTACAGATAATTTGGTTACATGCCTATAAAGGCCAAAAAAAAATCAACTGAAAAAAAAAGTTAGAAATAATGAGAGTACTTTTACAACCACCTGATAGGTTCTTCCTGCCCATTGCACAAGCAAAAGTAATTCATGGAGACCATGGCATTGCAGTAAAGAAAGAGTTTAATTGGTGCAAGGCCAGCCATGCCATGCGGGAGACAGACTCAAATCAATCTCACTGAAGCCTCAGAGGTTAGGGATTTTTTCAAAGATTCCTGGTCTTAAACTCTTGGGCTCAAGCGATCCACCTGTCTCGGCCTCCCAAGATGCTGAGATTACAGATGTGAGCCACCATGCCAGAAAGAGTCATAGACAGTTTGGTGGGTAGAGGGCTAAGGTATGGGTGCTGCTGACTGGTTGGGGATACAGTCGTAGGAGTGTGGGATATGGTCCTCGTACACTGAGTCTGCCTATGGGTGGGGGCACAAGACTGACTGAGTCCCAGAATCATCCAGTTGTCAGAAATGGAAAAGCCCGAAAAGACATCTCAAAAGGCCAATCTTAGGTTCTACAATAGTGATATTATTTACAGGGTAATTGGGGAAGTTACAAATCGGGGAAGAATTGCAAATCGTGTGACCTCTGGAATAATGGCTGGTAATGATTTAACTATGCCTACATCTTAGTAAAATTCAGGCCCCGCTCATCTTCTTAAGTTGGTGGTCTTTCATTAGTTTTACAAGGGCAGTTTAGTTTTTGGGAAGGGCTATCATCATTTACACTATAAACTAAATTTCTCCTCAAGATAGCTTGGCTGACATCCAGCACTGAGCAAAGCCAGCCAGCTTGTGAGGCTAGAAGCAAGATGGAGTCAGCCATGTCATATCTTACTTCCTTACCTTACTGTCATAATTTTGCAAAGGTGATTTTAGTTTACAGTGGTCAATTATGTAAATATATACAAAAATTGGTAGTTTTTGTATCTTATCATTAACTACTTTGAAAATATAATGGGAGAAAATCCTATTTGTAAATGGAACACAATCATAAAACATTAAAAAGCTGAATCCATTTTCTGAAAACCATAAAACTTTATTAATAGATATCAGAGAAAACCCAAAGTCAGTGAAGAGCTATAATTTATTCTTGGTTAGAAAGCTTCAATAGTGTAAAGAGGTTACTTCCCCAAAATTAATAAACCCAATGTAATTCTTTCAAAAATGGGGTAACGTATGAGGATGACAGAATGTCCTTCTATGTGAAATTCAGGATGGCTAGGAGAATGCTATAAAAAGAAAAGTAATTAGGGATGCTAATTCCACCTTATAACAAATTGTGATAAAGCTTTAGCAATTAAATGGTGTGGCACTAGCAGAATGGGCGTGCAAATCAATACAACAGCTGAGAGAATCCAGAAATAGATCCAAAATATATGATCATATGACACAGGAAATTCAGGTACTTTATAAACCAGTGGGGGAAAGATAGACTACTGGCCATCTGGGAAAAAAAACAAAGGCTGATTGCTACTTCATTTATTTCAACAAAATAAATTCTTGGTTTATCAAAATGGTAAATATAAAAAGCGAACTCATAGGGGTATTAAAAACATAGATTTGGGCTGGGCGCGGTGGCTCATGCCTGTAATTCCAGCACTTTGGGATGCCGAGGCAGGTGGATCACGAGGTCAAGAGATCGAGACCATCCTGGTCAACATGGTGAAACCCCATCTCTACTAAAAACACACAAAAAAAATTAGCTGGGCACAGTGGCGCGTGCCTGTAATCCCAGCTACTCGGGAGGCTGAGGCAGGAGAATTGCCTGAACCCGGGAGGCGGAGGTTGCGGTGAGCCGAGATCGTGCCATTGCACTCCAGCCTGGGTAACAAGAGCGAAACTCCGTCTCAAAAAAAAAAAAAAATAATCATAGATTTACGTTTTTGATTTCCTTGTGTTAGGGAGGACTATCAAGCATGGTAGAAAAGTCTGCAATCATGACAAATACTGATAGATATGATATAAAACAATTCAAAACTTGCATTTCTATAAACCACTCCCCTACCATAAACAAGGTAAAAGACAAAATATGGAGGGAAGTATTTTCAGCATCTCTGATAGCAGAAAAATTTAATATTCTTAATGTACAAAGAGCTTATAAATCAATGTGAAAAAGAGAAACATCAATAGAAAAATGGGCTGAGAACATAAACAATTTACAAAGGAAAATATTTAAGTAGCACTTTACAAAGGAAAATATTTAATTATATGTAATTGGAAATACCCATTTTACTAGTATCAAACATACAAGACACACTTGTGTATGCATAGAGACAACCTGGAAAGGTTTGTAGTGGTTGTCTCTAGGGGTGAGATTTTGCATAAAATTCAGCTTTTTCCTTTTTTATTTTGCTTAATTTTGTTCTACATGGATCTGTATTTCCTTTATTATCAGAAAAATACCTTCATACCACTTTAATTTTAAAATAAAAGAAGACAAGGAGAGCTGAATATTGCTCCAATAGCTGCCAAGATTGCAGAATGTTTGTTCTCTCTGAGAAGCAGTGAGCTCCAGCTCGGAGGGACATGGCCTTGCTTAGGAGACAGGAAAGTTCTTGAGTATGATTTCAGGGTTCCAAGAAGGAAGTTGTTAAGAAGCTTCAGAGTCAAGGAAGGGAGGGGCAACTGTTATATCAGCTGGGAAGCTTTTCAAAATCCTGTAGCCTGGGCCATGCTGTGATCTGATTCAACCAGCAACTCTGCAGTAGGGCCCAGGCATCAGTGTTTGTGTGAAGCTCCCTCGGTAATTCCAACACGCAGCCAGGGCTGGGAGCCACTGGACCAGAGGAAATCTGGCTCCATTTGGATGAGGAGCTTTGTCTGTCTGGTCCACAAAGGTCTAGGGATTTTCTCAGCCCTAATCACAGAGGACTTGTTGGGGTAGAGAATGAGAAGGACTGGGAGACCAGGAAAAGGGAACGGTTCTGAAATATACCAGAAGAGTGGCAAGCCAAGATTGCTTAATGGAGATTTGGGTTTAAATGAAGAGTCCTTTAAACGGAGGGAGGCAAAGTGTGTGTGCATGTATGTACATGTACAGGCATTTTTTTCTCACCCCATAAGTGGTTCTATTTTTGTCTTTCTAGGGCTACAGAACAGGCTACACGTACCGCCACCCCTTTGTTCAAGAGAAAACCAAACACAAAAGTGAGGTGGAGATTCCAGCCACAGTCACAGCCTTCGTGTTTGAGGAGGACGGCGCCCCGGTACCCGCCCTGCGACAGCACGCCCAGAAGCAGCAGAAGGAGAAGACCCGCTGGCTCAACACGCCCAACACCTACCTGCGGGTCAACGTGGCTGATGAGGTCCAGAGGAGCATGGGAAGCCCCCGACCCAAGACCACGGTAAGGGAGAGCCCAGGACAGACCCAGGCAGAGAGGGGCCGGCTGCATTTGTGGGGCATAGCAGCTTTAAAAAGGGAACAGAGCAAAATTCTCCTGCCCCAGGTTAGTAGCATCCTCTTTGGGCTTCCTATTGGGCATGTGGGGGCAGCTGCTCAGGCCCACTGAGCCCCTGACCACTTCTTCCTTGAACCTCTGCACTGAATTTTTGGGTCTAAGGAGCAGATTTCTCCAGAGGGCAGTTGGACCAGGCACATGACCCAGAACCAGTTGGTTTGTGCTGCTTTCTCCCACATCCACAGAGGGCTTCTGGGAAATTCAAGGGAGGAGCCTTTAACATTGGGACTGCAGATCTGATGCAAGTTCAGCCCAGGAGGTGGGCTGGCAGCTGCTTTCTATGAAATTACCCTTTCTCTTCCTCTCCCCACCCACAGGCTCTCAATTTTTCCTTAACATAAAAGTAGCCAATAGCCAAACAGAATACCTCTTCATAAAACAATATGACGCTCTCCAAACTCAAATTGAGTTACCTAATCCTGAAGCCCCAGTGGTTGCCCGTGTGTTAAAGCTGGTTCCCAAGGTTCTGACCCCGACTCTCAGACATTCTTTATGGCTGACCTTTGGCCTGAGGGCCTTCTTTGGTAACTGGGTCATCTGTTGCCCCTCTCTGCCCCTGGAGACAGACATCAAAGAGGCCCAGGAAGAGAGTGTGTCTATGAGTAGGCTTGCTGACCTTCCATGCAGGCCGGTGGGCCCAGATCTCATGGGTAGACCACCAGGGAGGATGCATGGGCCTGTTCACTCACCTCAGCCCATGGCCTTGTGTTTGTGCAGTGGATGAAGGCTGACGAGGTGGAGAAATCCAGCAGTGGCATGCCAATTCGCATTGAAAACCCAAACCAATTTGTGCCTCTCTATACCGACCCCCAGGAAGTGCTGGAGATGAGGAACAAGGTAAGTGGGGGCTGTTTATCTCTCTCTTTTCCCACATTGGGGTGGTCTCAAGTCCCACAAACAGGAGCTGAGGTCCCAGGATGTGGCTGACTTGCCGACATCTCAGATGTGTCACAGGAGAAAGAAATTACCCAGGTGCCATGCTAAGTGCTGTGCTTACGTGGTCCCATAACTTTTTACCTAGAGCAGGGCTTGCTTTACACATTAGCTGTGTCTGAAAGGCCTACCCACAAATTGAGTTTTAATGAATTTTATACCATTTTCCTTTTGCCTTATTTTCAGTATCTGTGTTTGTTTCCGGAACTTTGCCTGACAGTTCACTTGCATATATTTTTAATGTTACTTTAAAACTGCAGTTGTAGCAGGTACCTCTAACAGGTCAGATCATTCACAGGACAGTGGTACAGAGTGTGAGCTGGATCCCCTGCAGCATTTGTTAAAAGTTGAGATTCCTGGGTCATCCTCTTCTACTGCCCTCCCTCCATCCCCGCTCCCCCCAGACATTCAGTTTCAGTAGGTGTGGAGGGCCTAGAATTCATATTTAAAACAAATTCCTCATGCCTGTAATCCTGGCACTTGGGGAGGCCAAGAGGTCAGGAGTTCGAGATCAGTCTGGCCAACATGGTGAAACCCCCTCTCTGCTAAAAATACAAAAAAAATTAGCCAGATGTGGTGGTGTGTGCTTGTAATCCCAGCTACTTGAGAGGCTGAGGCAGGGGAATTGCTTGAACCAGGGAGGTGGAGGCTGCAGTGAGCCAAGATTGTGCCATTGCACTACAGCCTGGGTGACAGAGCAAGACTTTGTTTCAAAAATAAATAAATAAATAAATAAATAAATAAATAAATTCCTCAGGGACTTCTTAGGATCAACTATGCCTCATTTTACTTTTCAGCTCCTTCTGAGTTCATGAAAATCTGGTGCTTTACATAAATTACCGATTAACCCTGGAACAAACTTGGAGGCCCCCCTTAGAGTGCAAGGATTGAATTAGGATAGGAGAGGGGCTCCTACACCACTGGACCTTTCTAGACCCCAGGCACACAAGAACGTCCCCTCTGAAACTCCACGCCGACCCTGAACAGCCAGCTCACTCTCCCTCTCTCCTTTTCTCACAGATTCGAGAGCAAAACCGACAAGACGTGAAGTCAGCGGGGCCTCAGTCCCAGCTCCTGGCGAGCGTCATTGCCGAGAAGAGCCGAAGCCCGGTACAGCAGACGCTGCCCCTGACTGTCGGGGAAACATGTTTGCCTTCGGGGTCTTCCGTGCCTGGGGCTGGGCTGCAGGACCCCTGAGTCCTCATGCCCACCTTCCCCTGTGATCTTGGGTGCCAGTGCTCTTGCTGCAAAATGGAGGCCCACCTCACAGGGGTGCTGTGAGGACCGGGGAGGACAATGTCTGATGGCCCCTGTGGGCACTGGGCGGGGGAACAGCAGCCCAGCCTGCCCGCAGGAGTGACGCGGCCCCACCATGGAACTCCACTCTGTCCTCCCTTATTACCCTGCGAAGTGGGACTTGTAGGCTTGGGGCTGGAGACTCCGAGGTGCCCCAGGTTGCCCAGTCCTGAGTGTCTCTGACCTCTGTGCCTGGATATGCTGTCATCCAGCCAGAGCTCTGGAAAGACGATCATGTACCCATAGAGAGGGGGTCTATAGATGGGACCTATGCTCCTACAGGATGGGAAGGGACAACACTGTCCACACAAGCCCACATTGAGTTAGAAAGTATTGTCATTGTTTCTGTGCTTGAGATAGAACCGTGTTTTGTCTAGTGCTTAGCAAAAGGGGTGAAGTTCAGGATGCTGGCATGTGTTTCAAATCTCTGTTGCTCTTTGCAAGATAGCAATGGGCATAGCATTTTTCTTAGCAGTAAAAATTGGGGAAATACAGGAAATGTTCCTCTCTACAGGGCAAATTGTGATGATGCAATGACTTCAGGTCAAGACTGCACCCTGCAGGGTGGGTGTCCATTGGCAAGAGAAGTGTGAAAGTTGCATCATCGCACCCACTTCCCCCCAACCCCAACCCAGCCAAGATGGGGAACACTGAACATTCCATAGGGTCAAGGATAGAAATAGCCATGTTCTAGGGAGAGGTGAGAGTTCAGTACAATGAGCAAAACGGTTAAAAACAAACAGAAATCTCCCTTACCATTTATACCAAGTGCCCTTCTTGGAGTCCCTCTTCTAAGGTTTCTGGTTTTGGATTCTGTTGACTCCATGATCCTCTACATTAGGCCTGCTGTGACTTTCCTTTTGGAAGGGGCCCAGGGGCCAGAAGACCTGGTGGGCCAGGGCTGGGAGGACTGGCTGGCTCCAGGCTCACCTCCCTTTGGCTTCACTCTCTTTGCTCCACAGCTTCAGAGTGCTTCATCCTCAAAGGCCAAGATGAGGATGCTGAATTAGGAAAAAGGGCTGTGGAGTCTAAATTTTAGTCCCTATCTTGGGCTAGAGGGGTCAAAGAATTCCTGAAGCTTATGCAAGGGCTGGCTGGTCAGCTTCCCAGAGCCAGGGGCTAGACAGAGGTGGCAAAACCCAGTGACTTTGCCAGTATCCCTTCAGGGACCTGCGGTACAGGCAGGTTGAAGATCCGAGACTCAGGAACCTTGGCCCCTTTGTCACTTAAGACTGTGTGCGAAACAGGACTACCAGTTTGGACTGAGAGCACTGAAGCTGCTGTGTGTTTTGCATATGACTTAATGCTGTGCATTGTGGCTTGCACTGCTGTGGGGGCGGGCAGGGTGGGCGGGGTGGGTAGTGGTGGGGAATGGCTGGCATGAAGCTTGCTTGAGCCAATGCTATGCTTGCTGGGCTTTGGCTGACTGACTTTGGCCCACCAACTGTATTTGCATAGTGATGGCTTGGAAGTGTCCATAGCAGGGATTGCAATAAAGGTGTGTCTTGCTTCTGCTCGGGAGCATCCTTTGATTTTATTTCAGGGCAGACTGTGGACCCCCTGTATTCATCCAGCCAGTTGCAAAATCTGGGTCTAGGGAGAGGTAGCAATGGGGAGGAATGAACAACTTCTGCCCCAAGGCCCTGAACTGTTTCCAAGGAGCTGCATGCCACATTGTCCCTAGCAAGACCACTTGCAGCCACATGAATCTAAAAGGAGGCTGGGGCCTGCGCCCCAACCACGGCGTTCAGAGAGCGACATACCCTCTATGGTTAACTTTCAGTCTACAGAGAGCCAGCTGATGTCCAAGGGTGACGCGGATACCAAAGACGATTCAGAGGAGACGGTGCCCAACCCCTTCAGCCAACTCACTGACCAGGAGTTGGAAGAGTACAAGAAAGAGGTGGAGAGGAAGAAACTAGAACTTGATGGTAAATGACCCTGAGGCACCCTTGCTTCCAGATCCCCCAGGGTGGAGGGGAGAGCTCAGGACCACCAAAAGAGGACCTTTTTGCTCCATCAACAAAGAATATTCTTATTACCATGGTTCCATTAGTCACAATAATGCCCTTCATTGTGCTGTTCCTAACAGTTACTCATGACGTTACTTCATGACCTTACTTGACCCTCTCACCGGGTATATAGAAAGTAATACTTGTAATGTACTTAGAGAAGTGCCTACAAACATGGCTTAGGCTGGTAAACACCAGATAAATTTTAGCTATAATAAGATAATGATAATAGTCATAGTTATTATTTCCCACCAGGTATAGTATAAGCCTTTTGGCCTGGCAATCGAAACCCTCCACCAGCTGACAACTTTACGTCTTTTTCTCACTCCTTTGTTTCAGAATCTTGAGTGAAGCCCATCTCACCATGTTGACTTCCAAATATTCACTCACAGTAGCTTGTATGCCCTTGTTCCTACCTTTGTCTTTTCCTGGCATGCTGCTGCTTCTCGGCTAGCCCGGTCTGGTCATCAACATGTCACCTTTTCTACCCTACCGAAATCGAGCTGTCCCTTCTCTTTGCTTCCTGAGCACTTGGGGTCTGAGACACATAGTTCAGCTTTTGGTTGTGTCCACTGGCCTAGACTGTCACTGCCTCAGAGCAGCATCTTCCACCATCTCCCTTCTTCACCCCGAGTCAGCCACCTTCTTGGGCACAAATCAGCTACTTAAAAAACCCTTGCTGACTGGGCATGGCATAATCCCAGCACTTTGGGAGGCCAAGGCGGGTAGATCACTTAAGGTCAGGAGTTTGAGACTAGCCTGGCCAATATGGTGAAACCCTGTCTCTACTAAAAATACAAAAATTAGCCAAGCTTGGTGGCGGGAGCCTGTAATCCCAGCTACTCAGGGGGTTGTGGCAGGAGAATCACTTGAATCCGGAATGGGGAGGTTACAGTGAGCTGAGATGGCACCACTGCACTCAAGCCTGGGCAACAGAGCGAGACTGTTTCAAAAAACAAAAACAAACAAAACCCTTGCTGGCTTGCTTGGTGCTCTAATGTGCACATTGAAAAGTAGATAGAAGAACATGGCGCTTTTTATCCCTAGGGATTGTTTGAAGAGAAAATGTGAATTCAATGAGTTAACAGTAACATGCAAACAAATCATGGGTGTTTTTAAGGGGAGTCAGCAAAAAGAAAAAAAAGATAAATAAGGGGCGTCGGTGGTTGTGGGTCCACCTCTTACCGGTTGATGTGCTCTGTGCTCATGACACAAAACTCCTGGCTGGTTCTCTACAGAGACAGGACAGGAACGAGAGCCAGGCTCTGGTCTGGCTGTGTGGGCGTTCTCCTGCAGTCTTGCCTTCCACATCTGGAGTAACATATTGGTAGGTGTGTTTCAATGAAGGAAACAACATGATTCCACCTTCTCCCATCGGCCTTCCTGGGAAAGTAGCAGAAATTTTAAAAGGTCAGGGGGAGCAGCTAACTTCAGCCAGAAGGTTCATTATCAGCTAGGAGGACTGATAACTAAATAGAAAAAAGTAATTTTTAGAAGGCTTTATTTCTCTGCCCATCTCTTCTCTATTTGACCTCTGTCCTAAGGTGGTTTTCTGTTTTTTTTTTTTCAGGGGAGAAAGAAACCGCCCCGGAAGAGCCTGGCTCACCTGCAAAGTCTGCACCTCCTTCTCCAGTGCAGAGCCCAGTGAAGGAGGCAGAGACAAAGAGCCCTGTAGTCTCTCCTTCCAAGTCTTTAGAGGGTGAGTCCAGCTGAGCAAGCTGGGAGGGAGGGATGGGGGTGCATCTGCTGGCTGGGAAAGTGTTCCGCCTTCCACCAGTGTTGCCCCTTATCCAAAAATCTTTCCCCTCTGCTATTTCTAGGGAATCAGAAATAGGGGTTATCAAGTTTCACCTTGTTTCATTCACAAGCTATACCACTACACCTTGCAGCTTAAGCCTAGGGTAAGCAATGAAGAGTAAGTTACTGGCTGGCCCAGTGTAAGTAATAAAGAGTAAGTTACCGGCTGGCCCCCAGCTCCTCTCCCCAACTCAGACACAGCTGGGGCTGTTGGGCCTTTTCAGATGCACTAGCCCCTTTCGCAGACTTTAACATGCATAGGGACCACCTGGGGATCTTGTGAAAATGAAGATTCTGCTCATTAAGTCTGGGATGTGGCCTGAGATGCTGAATTTCCCAGGTGAGGGTAATGATGTCATACTCCACCTTAACTGCACATTGGAATCACCTGGGGAGCTTTAACAGTCTGATTGCTGGATCCCACCCCCAGCTTTTCTGAGTTAAAGAAAACTCGGCAAAGTCTGGAGTTGGGTGGATTAAGGAGTACAGCCTGGAGTTTTCGCATCTCTCCAGGGGTATCTAAAGTGTGGTCCAGGTTGAAAACAGCTTCAATAGAGAGATACTACCTTAAAGAACTGAGTTCTAGGCCCAACTGAACTGCTAACTAGTAATAACCGCTAATTTTAGCAAATCAGATAGCATCTCTGTGCCTCAGTTTCATTGACTGTCAGATGAGGCTACTAATATATTTCCTTTTTATACTTGCATAAGGGAAGTGTAGGTGAAAACATACTTTGAAAGAGTAAAAGCAGGACTTAAATGTAAGATGTGATTATGGTTATGATTAATAATATACATAAAGTGGATAATAATTACAGGTCATGGCCACCTAAATCATAAAAGTATCTTTACTGAGCTCCTGGAATCACTCCAGGGCATCAACACTTCTTCCCAGGTCACCTGGAGACCCCCACCAGACAGAGCTGGCCCACCAGCCAGAGAATAGAACCTGGTGGCCTGTTGGAATCTTCTCCCTCCTGGGTAGAACAGCCACACCTGTGGATTCTGATAGAATCCCTCAGCCCTGAGCTCCCTCCACAAGCAAGTTACTGCCTCATGTGCAGGTCCAGCGTTGCCAGAGGAAACCCATCTGCTTGAGGCCAGGGCCCCAAGCGGATGTCCCCCAACTGTTGTGTTCATTGTGTCTCACTGTGGTGTTGTCAACCTGTCTCCACAATGTCTTCCTTTCTCTTCCCATTTGTGCCTTCATCAAAGGAGTTTCCTCCGATTCTGAATACTTGTCTCTGTAGTAAGTATAGAGAGGCTGTTTACTAACTCACTGCAACACTTGCAATGGGGGAGGGAGGATTTTTTTTTTTCCAAAAGAAATAAATTTCTCCCCAAGTTTTTCTTTTGCGACTCACAACTCTGCCTTTGGGAAGTTTCCCGGCTGTAAAATTCATGACCAATTCCACATGCACTATGCATGGATCAGGCTTCTCTGTGGGAGATGTGGATATACACACAGAGGCTGCACCCGTACACAAACACACAGGCACACACACTCAGAAGCAACAAGCACCCAAGAGTTTGCAGGCAGTGGGGTCAGCTCTCCAGCACTCCCAGTGATAGAGGGCTTATGGCTCTCATGTGCTCACTCCCACCCCTTTTCCTAATGCACCTGCACCTCAGAGGAGCCTGTGGCCTTGTCTAGGCTTTGGGCCAGAGCCTGAACTGCACTATAAGGATATGTAGAGAGCCTGGCCTGCTGGGGTCTTCAGGACATGTGTTCCAGCTGCAGGAATGAAATCCAGGCTGGAAAGGAGGCTCATGGAGGAGTGGGACAAGGGGCAGGAGGGGTGTGCAATGGGTGGGGTAGCTGCTTACCCACTGCCTGACATTTTACACCCTATAGCAGGATTCTTCCTTCTTCCCCTGGAGGGGCCCACTGTTGTTAGAAAAGTTGTCTTGAAGATACTTCCCATAACCCACTTCCTGTAACAGAGAGCTAGGGAGCATGGCACCTTGAAGCAGTCCCTGCATGGCAAGGACACAAGCTGTAGCTGGGTGGGGAGCCTGGTGTGAAGCCTTGGCCAGGCTGCTCATAGGCTTGCCCAGCTCATGGACAGATAGGGCTAACCCACCAGGCAGCCTCTGCTCTTTCACATCTAGCCCACCTGTCAGATCAGAGATGGCTTTTTCCAACCATTGCCACCATGTCCTCAAATCCTCTTATGCTGTGTCACCTCAGTGTCACTCCTCATCTGTCTACCTGACTCCTACCCCATCAGCCTTTCTGAAGGCTGGCCATCAGAGAGAGCCTTTGCATTTGGCCATCTGTGCTATCACCTTCTCTTTAGCTCCTGTTGGACCCTTGTCCCAGCTCATCTCATCCTCTGCTGAACCCTCAAGGCACTGGCTATGCCTGCAAAACAGTAATCCTATATTGGACATCACATGATCAGCTCTGCCACTAACTAATCTAGCCATCTCAAACAAGTCACTTAAAAACACTGCTGGATGGGAATAGCATGAATTTTTGCCTTTCCTAACTAAGCCACAGCAAGTTGTCAGGATAAAATGAGCTACTGAATATAAAAGCACCTAGTAATGTGCTTTATGTAAGTTAGTCCTTTTTATCTACCATGCTCTCCAAATTGTAAGAACTAATACACCACTTGACGTTTTAAGCCACTAAGTTTTAGGGCGGTTTTGATGCAGGGATAAGATTTCATTTAAGTCATGGTGTTTAATAAGAACTAGTTTTATGGAAATTATTTCTTCTGTGAGTTGACTGGGGTTGACAGGGCTTAGCTGGATGAGTCTTCTGATGGATGTGATATCCACTGAGGGCGGCAGTCAGCAGGGAGCTTGACTAAGCTGGAACTTCCCAGATGGTGCACTCACAGGCCTGGTACCATGGCAGGGGCAGCTAGAAGGCAGGGCTCAGCTGGGACACTTAGATAGCTTGGTGTCTGTCTGTCTCTATCTCCCTCTCCAGTATGATCTGAGGGCCCACCCTCTACATATTTTCTATCAGGAGAGTTGGGCTTTATACATGATGGTATAAGGCTCCCAAAACTGTAAAAACAGGAGTTGCTAGGCTTTCTTAAGTCTTTGGCCAGAGGCCTGCTCTGGCACTTACACTGCATTTTACTGGTTTTGACAGCTACAGGGCCAGCCCAGATTCAGTGTGGGAGGGGGCTACAGAAGCCCATGGGTACTGGAGGCACAGCTCATTGGGGTCATATTTGCACACAAGTTATACCAGATACTGAAAGTATATTTGGGTACTTAGAGGAACATTTATATTCCAGCTGTGGTGAGTGGATGGGAGTCACAGAGTCCACAGCACCCATTTATGAGAAGCTCTACTTTCTTTTTTATAAGTGGTACTCTCTCAGTTTTCGGGGGGAGGTAAAAGAGAAAACACAGCATTCTAAGTAATGCTTCTTAATATGTGGTCAATGGGCCTTGTATTAGAATTACCTGGTGACTTATTAAAAGTATCTATTTCTTGGCCCACCTTCGGTTTCAGTTTATTGTGGGGACAACACTAGGAAGCTGCATTTTCACAGGCTCCCTGGGTGATTCAGACACTGAGGTTTGAGAATTGAAACCCAGACAGACACTCTGTTGCAAACCTCTGCACAGCCAGCATGCAGCTCCTCCATCAGCCATGGGCAGCTCAGTCTGTGGCTCTTCTTCCCCTCTGTTCTTTTCTTTGAGCACCGTGGGCCTTTTTGACTGTTGCTGCATGAGCGCCTAGCCCTTGTGTCAACATAGGACATTTTTTTTCAAGGTTTTTAATGAATCTCTCTATGGCCTCTCTATGCAATGGTATGGCACTGCCTTTTCAACAGGGAAATAAAAGCAGTACATGGCAGTGACCAATTCTCCATGCATTTGGAATATAGGTCAGGATCAGTCTGATTGACCTTGTGTTCTGAAGTGCGTCAGCAAATCCTGTTTTGAGGCCCTCCACTGGTATCTCTCCTACTGTAAAGAGAGGGCTTCTCAAAGCTGGGGGGCTTGAGACAAGAGATCATGTGTTTGACCCTGAGATGTTAGCAGTCCAGGGAAAGAAAGGCAGCCTTGCTCCTTCAGTTAGTCAAGGTCATATTCGTTCCCCACGTCTTCATCCCAGTGCACAGCTGCAGAAGAGCCCAGCTGCTGAGCTGACACAAGGCATCCTGTGTTGAGTCTTTACCTGCCCTTACTCAGCAAATGTCAGCAGCAATAAACATGGCATGAGCATGTTGTCACTGAGCTGCATGATGGTTATAGAGAAGTAAAAGACAGAGTTTCTGTCCTGAATGGTGTACTTGGGCGATGAATAGACTCTTAAAAGAAAAAAAAAGAATGACACACCCAAGTGCAAAATGAATAGACGAGCAGTGTGTTCAGAGGAGGTGAGCTCATTGTCCAATGTCAGGGGAGGCTGTACAGAAATAGTGTGACGTGAGCCAGACCTTGGATAGGTACATGCTTGGAGCGGCAGAGAGGAGTGGAATGGGCTGTGTGGGGGCAGTGCCTAGGAAGCTGGGGCAACTGGCATTCCTGGAAGAGGATTGTATTAGGGTTCTCCAGAGAAATAGAACCAACAGGTTATATAGAAAGATAAGAGGAGACTTACTAGGGGAATTGCCTCATTATGGAGGCTGAAGAGTATGTTATCTCCAAGCTGGAGAACAGGAAAGCCAGTGGTGTAACTCCGTCTGAGTCTGAGGCCTGAGAACCAGGAGCTGTAAACCTGAGGGCAGGAGAAGAGGGGTATCCCAGCCCAAGAACAGAGAGTTTACCCTTCTTTCACCTTTCTGTTCTATTTGAGAGGGCCCTAAGCAGACTGGATGGTGTCCAACCATGTTGTTGAGGGCAGATCTTCTGTATTCAGGCTACTGATTCAAATTCTAATCCTGGCCTGACGCAGTGGCTCACCCCTGTAATCCCAGCACTTTGGGAGGCTGAGGTGGGTGGATCACCTGAGGTCAGGAGTTTGAGACCAGCCTGGCCAACATGGTGAAACCCTGTCTCTACTAAAAATACAAAAATTTGCTGGGCATGGTGGCACACACCTGCAATCCTAGCTACTCCAGAGGCTGAGGACAGAGAATCGCTTGAAACCGGGAGGTTGAGATTGCAGTGAGCTGAGATTGTGCCATTGCACTCCAGCCTGGGTGACAAGAGCGAAATTCTGTCTCAAAACCAAAACAAAACAAATGCTAATCCCTTCCAGAAACACCCTTACAGACACACCCAGATATATTGTTTTACCAATTATCTGGGCACCCCTTACCCAGTCAGGTTGATACATTAAAATTAACCACCATATGGTCATTGGTGGCCAAGAGACACCCAGTGGTTGGAGGCTGTGGGTTAGTGAGAAATGGAGTTGGAGAGGCAGAGTGTCCAAACCAGCTCTGCACCTCCTACAGAAGCTCCCTCCTCCTCTGGCCTCTGGAAGCCTTTTAGCCCTTTGTCTCCCAATGCACAGGGTCCGGGTGTGGACCCTGACTTTTGAATCCAGTCTTGCTCCTGTCACCTGTTCCCCCAATGCCTCCTGTCTCTCCCGTAGCTTTCCAGTCACCACCCTGGGACAGAGCCCCCATTTCCCAGCTTCTGCCCCACTCTACTTACTCCCACAATATCCCCTATTCCCAGAGCTCCAAGTTCCCCATTCAGGAGAGAAAGCCAGAGGTTCTTCTTAGAAGAGGCTGGAAGTTGAGTTCTCATCTGACCCTAGTTCCTAGGGCCTCTCTCAGCCTAGTCTTCAACCTAACTGTTAACAGAGGAGGGTTCTAGGCTCTCAGAGCCTGTCTGCAGTACTTTCCAGAGGCCTAACACATGTTTACTTCTGGAGCCCTTCTCTTGGCCGGTGGAATCCTCCAGTAGTCTCTGACACTATAGTTGAAGGAGTGGTGACCGTAATTAGGAACTTGGCTCCTCCAAGCCCCATTTTCCATTTGCCATGACTCCTCATACAATTCATGATATAGAGCCTCTCTGAGTCATAGCAGATCCACTATCTGTGGCCCCCACTTTCTACGTGGTGAGAAGAATCTTGATTGTTGCTCTCCTAAACCAGACACACACTAGGGCCTGAGGCTGTTGATTAGGTTGACAGCAGGGCAGGTGTGGGCAAAGGGACATGAATGAGGGGGCATGGGTGAAGGATGCCATCGGAGTGAGGATACTCATTGCTACCAGGCAGGAAATGACACTTGGACAGAAAGGGAGAGTCCCTCTTATCCATAGTTGTCTTCATGAAGCCAGAAGGCAAGTGCCCAAACCATCTTAGAGGAGAGCGCCAAGGGTCAAGTTTGAGAAATGTGTCCTAATGTGTCATCCAGGTGAGAGCCCTGCAGTGAGGATCTGGGTTGAAGTTGCAGAGCCATGGAGCTACAAGAGCGCAGGAAGATAAGACGGGGGACCAGGACAGCAGGCACAGGAGACCAAGGCTAGCACTCAGGGCTGGTGTTCGTTTACATGAGTAGATCCAGTTCTGCTCAGAAGGCTCAGGCTGGGATAGGCAAGAAAAGATGAGGTGATGGTATTGGCTTGGTTAGAATAAATCCATTCACATATTCATTTATTTGCTTATGCTTTCTACCATTCATGGATTCCACAGACCTTTTCTGAGTGCCTTCTGAGTGAGCTAGTTACATAGGTCATTAGACACAGTTTTGCCCTAATTTATTTCAGTTTTGAAGGGGGAGGAGATAGACATAAAAAAACAAGTATGGGCTGGGCGCGGTGGCTCACGCCTGTAATCCCAGCACTTCGGAAAGCTGAGGTAGGCGGATCACAAGTTCAGGAATTTGAGACCAGCCTGGCCAACGTGGTGAAATCCCATCTCTACTAAAAATACAAAAATTACCTGGGAGTGGTGGTGCGCTCCTGTAGTCCCAGTTACTTGGGAGGCTGAGGCAGGAGAATTGCTTGAACCTGGGAGGCAGGGGTTGCAGTGAGCGGGGATCATGCCATTGCACTCCAGTTCTGGGCAACAGAGCAAGACTCCATCTTGGGAAAATACCAAATAAACAAATGTGATTGTTTTGCAGATGTTGTGATGGAAGTTTAGATAGCAGAGGCAGAAAGGAAGGAATGATAAACTCTACCTAGAAGTGGGAATGAGGATCAGGAAAGACTTGAAGGAAGAAGTAACACTCAATCTGATTCATTATATGGAATGAAGGCTGGGGACACAGAGGAGAGAGAAGGGCCTTGCAGAAGGGAATGAGCTGGGATAACAGTGAGAGGTCCAGGGACCCGCAGCTTGGTATGGCAAAAAGCAGGTGAAGTGGGAATAGGAGAGTGAACAGCCTGGTTTATGGCATTCAAGAGTACTGCCAGGTGATGGCCACAGGATTACATGGCAGGACGGAAAGGGATGCTGGATGAGGATGACAGGACATGAGCTGGGCAGTGGGAAGACTGGGAGCAGTGGCCAGAGTCTTTGCTACCAAGAGGGAGCTGGTGCTCTGCAGTGGTCTGCAGGGGGGGCACTTTGAGTTATCCAGCAGTGTCAGGGGTTATGGAAGACTTTGTTACAGGGAGATCTGGCCAGGTAGTTCACTCGTCCACTCTAGCTGTCCACAAGTTACCCCACTCTGTCCCATCCTCCATGGAACCATGCACTTCCCCAGACTTCACCCCTGTTAAAAGAGTCCAGGCTTTTCCTAAAACCGAGTCCTTCACTGACTCCCTCTGTAACACTGATTATATCTTCTACATCACCCACATTCCCACACACCCCAGCACGCTGGGCTCCTTCTTGTGATGTGGCAGCACACACACACACTACATTCATATGTGCATATCACACACATACCACACAGGTAGGTGTGTCACAGGCTCACTCACTCACACCCTCGCATATGCTCATGTGCACTCACACACACTTGTACATACAAACACATTTGTAGACGCTCACTCCCACACTCATATACCACTGTCATACACACTGATTTCACTTGCTTACACCACACATACCACACACTCATGCTCACACACACTTATGGCAAACACACAGACTAATTTACATACTCAGTTACATACTCAAACCTCACACACACCCAACTTGCCTGCTCACATACATATCCTCGCACACCCTCACACATACACCCTTGCACACCCCCCACACACACTTGCACACCCGCACTTATACACACTCACAGACATTCCTTGCAGTTCACATGGTGAGAAGAAGTGGAACCACAAGTTGGTAAGCCGAGGTCTGCCCACCATTTTACACTGTTCTTCGGCCTTCTTAGCTGTACAGGGGGGAAGGGGCACCAGATGATGCCTGGCTTTCTACTTCTCAGTCTGTGGTTTTACAATCTCCCCAACCCCCACCCCACCCGGGCATCTGAAAGCTTCTGTGGAAGCAGAGTTGGGTGAGAGTGGGGAGTGGGGAGAAAGGGCAGCAGGAGGGTTTGGTTTCTGGGACCTGAACAATGCTGGCCTTGAACATGGCAGCGATCCCAACAGATTCCCAGGTGGAGTAAAGACCTGGGAGTCCCAGTGGCTGCTAGAATGGGCTGACCAGGGATCTTCCCCTTTTCACTAACACATAATTCCCTGTATAACACAGACCCTGTATTTCCAAGGGTCTGTGTTATACAGGGAATTACACTCTCCCTGTGCCAGCTGGGAAGATACTCTCCATATTTCTCAAAGTTCATCACTGGTATAGGAAATGAAAACATGTAATTTCCATATTTTTATTGGTGAAACTGAACTGGTTACAGCAATTCTTAAATGTCTCCACCAAGCTGTACACTTCACACCTTCTTCTTCCTCTGTCTGTTTCTTCTTTCTTGCTTAGAAAAACTCTGAATTGGACCCTAGCTGGGCCCCCTGCCACGTTCAGACATCAATATACATCTAAATTCATAGACAAGAGCCCAGAGCTGCCAGCTTACAAGAGGGTGTTCCCAGGACAGGCCGTGTGGAAGGGGTGCAGATCAGAGCCCAGTCCTTCCATCTGTCTCTGAGAGCCATCCCTCAACATCAGGCTGGCCCATCCCTTGCTCTGGACTGACTTTATATAATTTCCTAGAAATTGTTCTGTTAGTCCCAGGTGGAAGCTCTCATCCAAGTGAATTCTTACAGGTTATATCTTTTGATATTTTTCTAGAAGGTGCTAAGAAGACAGAAACAAGTAAAGACACCACCACAGAGCCCGAAACAACCCAGCCAGAAGGGGTGGTGGTCAACGGGAGGGAGGAGGAGCAGACAGCAGAGGAAATCCTCAGCAAAGGCCTGAGCCAGATGACCACCAGTGCTGACACGGATGTTGATACCTCTAAGGACAAAACCGAGTCGGTCACCAGCGGCCCCATGTCCCCAGAGGGCTCACCTTCCAAGTCTCCCTCAAAGAAGAAAAAGAAATTCCGAACCCCTTCCTTCCTGAAAAAGAGCAAAAAGAAGGAGAAAGTGGAGTCCTGATTCATGACACCCTTGGGCTCCCTCCTGCCTACTCTCTCTCCTCCCCTTCCCTTTTCCTGTCTCTGTCCCTGCAAGCACAGGGCCAAGGAGGGATAGAGTAGGACCCTGGATCACACTCAGAAGGGGAACTTAGAGATTGCCTAACCAACTCTTCATTTTACAATTGCCCCAGAGAAATCAGGTGACTAGCCCAAGGTCACACAGCTAGTTAGAGGCAGAGCCTGCACTCGAATTCAGGTTTCCTGACTTCCAGTCCAGTGCTCCTTCTGCTACATAACACTGCCTAGTTGTGGGCTGCCTTTGTTCAGATGCTGCCCACCAATCTGAGCCTAGGGCAAGAAGGCCAGAAATGGGCCATGAGCTCTCATAGGCTCAGACTAAATCAGACAGATCGAGGCTTCCCCTGAGTAAGGCCCATTTCTTCGCAGGAATCCAATCTCCTGCAGATGGAGCTATCTCTACATTTAAAAATCTCTTTTCCTCTTTGTATCCCTGCCCTGCTGTTCGAAGTAACCAGGCAAATTGACCCCTCCAACAGAAAGCAATCTTTGTTCCCACGGCCTGATGGCTTAGCTTGTACTTCCCCAAACATTAACCCTGAGCTTTCTTCATGGAACCTCTTGAATGATGGCTGAAAGAGCTGTAAGCGGTGGTAGGCATAAGGGCAAACCATGTAAGCTGAGGATTGGGGATGGTTTCATGAACATAAGAGGCCAGGAACTTGACCCCTTTGAATTGTGCATCTCAGGCACTTCAAAACTAAAACCAAATTTAGCATAGGAAAAAGTTGTTTCATGCTCAGGGTGGAAAATTGGGGAAGTTGAAGTCTTTTGGCTTTGGGTTGTGCAAGGAGGATCAAAACAACAGAGAATGCTATGACTTTCTAGCTTTGCATGACACCTGGAGCAATGCGCTGTACCTGCCTCACTCCCGTCCAGCAGTCAGGTGTCCCCTGACCTTCCCTCACCCCCAGAAGCATTTGCTTACAGACTGAAACGGGCATCTTACTCTTGGCACCTTGACTTGTACCCTCTGAGGTTCCAACTCTGAGTCACTCTAGGTCCAGCAGAGGAGAATCAGAAATGAGCCCTTCAGGATTAATCCTCTTGCACCAGCTCTCAGAGAATGCTGGGGGTCCCTGTCCCTGTCCCTATCTGTCTATCCTGGGGCCTTGTAATGGCCACAGCTATATTTTTAAATGCCAACACTGTCTTCTCATGTTCTTCTGTGGGACATTGCTTAATGAGGATTGTTGGCTCCTAAAAATTAGACAATCCATTATCTTGAAAGCACAGTGTCTTGAAAGAATATTTTTCCTTTTGGCCTGACTATTGTGAAAATATTTTTGAAAGTTCTTAATCATAGTTTTCCACTTTTGAGCACTTATTATCTATAGACACTGTGCAGGCTTCACATATATTACATCCTTTAACCCTCATAGTAATCCCTTGAGGTGGGTAAGATTGTTCCCATTTTGTGGGTGAGGAAATTGATCCCCTGAAAAGATAATTGACTTGTCCCAGCTGACTTGGCTAGAAAAATCTGGATCCTGGATTTGAACCCAGGTCAGCCTGAGTCCAGAGCCCTTGGTCTTAACAGCTATGGTGAACAGACAACTTTAATCCCCAGGGGTGGTGGTTTTCATCCAGTACTTGTCTCTATGACTGGTCTCCATTGCATAATTGTAGCACTTGAAGCAAAGGTAGGAAACTCCCTGTGCTCATTCTCATCAGTATATGTGAAGTTCCTGGTCAATGTGGATTGTGGTGATGCTACTGTGTACCTGTGACAAAGGATAAGCAAGAGCCTTCTTGTTGGGACAGGAAATACCATCTATAATTGGCTATTTCTTGAGAAGGAAAGAAACTGACCTAGGACCAAGGTAAACTTGACACTGTGTCTGTCCAGTGCAGGTTCCTAACTGCTGCCCCTAGCTCTGTCTCTGTTCTACTTCCTGATTAGGTCAAATTTTAGGAGGGACAACGCCCTGATGTTTCAGAAAAATCTGTCATATGGGAAATGCCTTTAAAAGCCAATCCCTTGATGCCTTCTTTTAAAAAGTAGATTTCACATTTATTCATTCATCCTTTCATGGTGTTTGTTAAGCATCCCACTGACCACCGGGGATTATTTTGACACTGAAAGGAAGCCATCATTATGACTCAAATAATAAGTGGCAAGCAATGTTGCGAGAATGGTGAACACGACCTCTGATGCAGCCTTTCATGTGTGAGTTGTTGTAGTTCAGGGGTGATGTGGATTGCCTCTGCATTTAACACACTCTATTCCCTTTATGACAACAGTGAGGCCTCACTTAGGTCAAAATATTGGATGGAGTCTTGCTGCAGCATTATTCTTAAAATTTATGCCGTGGGCCCACTTGCTATTGATTGATGAACCTATCAGTTGGTTCATTCCTCAGGTTCATTTCTCATGTGATAGGGTCCACCTCCTATTGATTGATGAACTTATCAATTGGTTCATTCCTCATGTATCCAAAAACATGCATTGAACTTGGGTCAAGGGCTAGGCATGAGGATAGGCATAGTTCCTGCCCTCAAGAAGTTTATGAGCATAGTAGGTGTATAGACAAATTGCAACACAGGCAAGTGTACCAAGGCGGCATAAGGAAGCAACAGTTAACTATCTTGGGGACCAGAGAAACCCTGAGAGAAGCAATGGCTTTTAGGGTTTTAAAACAGAGGAATTTTCCAGTAGAATGGAAGGGTTGGCAGGGCATGCCACGATGAGGGAAGAATGTGTGCAAAGGTGTGGATGCATGAAATGCCATGATGGGGTCCACTGAGCAGTGTGGCATTGGCAAAGCATGACACCTAAGCTGGGTGGTTGAGGGGTCCCTTCACAAGTGGGCAGGGTTGAATCCTACAGATACTGGTAGGAAGTGTGGAGGAGCCAGACTTGTCATGGAAGGGGTTTGGAGCCACTGAAGCCTTTCAATCAGGATAGAGTCATGATCAGACTTGCATTTTAGGAAAATCCCTTTGGTGGCTGAATGGAGGCTGGACTGGATGGGCGTAGGATGGTGGCCTGGGAGCTATGAGGCCTTTCTGAAATGTCAATACTAAAACATATTTGATGGCCTGCCTCACATGATATTTCCTCTATAGCAAATAGTTTCTGACACAAAATTTATTTCCATAAAAGTCTTTGGATAAAGCACCTTAAGAGGGATTTTTGACAAGGAGAGGGGAGCATTCAAAGAGCTAATGTTTCCAGTTTTATTTTGTCTTGGCGTAGAATTTCTGGGAGAGGTGTTGAGCATCCTGCCGTTTCTTCTTCCTTTGACTAGAATGTGGCACACTTAGCTCCAGGCTTGAGAACATACACCCAATGCTACAGAAATAGACATGGGTCCTAACAAAACTGCAGGCTATTAGGAGAAAAGGAAAGGGCATTTTCTTTGGCTTTGGATAAAAGTTGGCTGAAAGCTTTGACTAGTATCTGACTGGAGAAAATGTGTATTCAAGAGCTTAGATTTAGTGGGCAGTAGGTTCATGCCTAGTTGAGCCACTGTGCTTGGATATGCCAGAGAAAAGGGATATTTTGAACCAATATGCTGCTCTGTGGCTGGCTGAGCTGGGAAGTGGAGAGGTTTCTGAGCTTATTTCCATCGGAAGGCAGGCAGGAGGGAAAGGAAAAGAAGGATTAATGGTTGCACAGAGACAGGCTTAGCTCCGACAACTCCGTGCGCAGCGTTGGCTGCACCGAACAGTGGTGTGGGAGAACCATCCATACCTGTGGCTTCCCCCAAAAGTGCAAGAAGAGACATTCCTCACCCAGATCTGGGCTCCCTAAGAGTGCCTGCTGGCCTGCAGGTGACCCAAGTAACTGTCCTACTTTGGCCAGTTGACCCCCCTCAACTCTTCTATAAATAAAACAAGCTGCTGCTTCTGTGAACAGATAAGTTCTTTTTAAAGGACTTGAGGGAAATTGGATGAAGAGCAGTAAGTTCTTACATTAAGAATCCCACTGTAAAGCACTGCCCTCTGCCACTGATCTGTGTAGACTAAACTTGAATCCCATTCCCTGTGGATGACACTGTCACTTGCTCATGGCATGGCAAGACAGTCATTCAGATATTTGGCATTGTTGTAACAGGGCTACTGCCAGTGTGGGGAAAAGTGCAATCAATCCACTTCTTTGATTACCATGAATTTGAAAGAACCATTCGCTCAACTCATGATTCGCCTCTGAAAGTCTAAAACTAATTTTCAATTTTTTCCATGAAGGTATGTGGAGGATAGTCACACAGCCTCCCCATAGGTCTGCATGATATGTTTTTTTCTTTTCTCTCTCTCTCTCTTTTTTTTTTTGAGATGGAGTTTAGTTCTTTGTTACCCAGGCTGGAGTTCAGTGGCACAATCATGGCTCACTGCAACCTCCACCTCCTGGTTCAAGGGATTTTCCTGCCTCCTGAGTAGCTGGTGTTACAGGGGCTCACCATCACGGTCGGCTGATTTTTTATTTTTAGTAGAGACGGGGTTTCACCGTGTTGGCCAGGCTGATCTTGACCTCCTAACCTCAGGTGATCCGCCCACCCAGCCTCCTAAAGTGCTGGGATTACAGGCATGAGCCACTGTGCCCGGCTGACATTTTTTTCTTGGTGTGAATTTTATGTTCTTGTTGTAGGAGGACAAGGGTAATCAATTCTTCACTAATGAACAAATGAGAACATTTACCCTTTACTCATTTTACACAAGTGGGTCAGCAGAAGCCCTAGAGTTGGTTGGCACAGTTGCAGTTGACTCTGAGCCTAGAGGAAACAGGTCTTTTTACATTCTCTCTCATCACTTGAGCTCAGTTGAACTCTCTAAGACCTTAGCACTCAAAGAGTCTGAGAAGAAATGAGGGAGAGGCTAAATCTAAGCTCCCCACTCCCACAGAAAGGACAGGGCACCCTACAATTTAAAAGTCAGTGGGGCATCCTATCATCTCTTTTACATCTGTTCTCAAAGGGATAGTTTAGTGCAAGAAGCAAGAGGCCTATGTAGTGACTCTACACTCATGAAATGTGCACCTTGGTTATCGGTGCATATGTCCACTTGCACCATAATGCGAGAAAGTATACATGGTAGTGTAATTACTTCCAGAAGCCCTGTCCACCCAGCCTATTCAGATGTGGTATGCTTTCTGTCATAAATGAGAGACCGGACATAGAGCTCAGTCACCAAGGCATGCCCAACATCCCTTTACCTCTCTCAGTGAACAGCCACGCTCACCAGGAAGCAGTGTAGGGACATCAGGTGGGGTGTCATCGTTTTTATAGAGACAGTTTCCTTGAGAATATAGGCTTTTCTTCTGAGGAACAATTAGGAAGAATCTTCAGTTGGGAGTGTTCTTAAATATACAGAAACAATGGTTCCCATCGGTTCACGCACAGGTCGTAATAGGTTTGGCCATATTGATGTTTGGTGCCACTTGCCTTCTAGATTTTTCCCAAAAGTTGGGTCCTTGCTACAAGAAATTGGGACCTGAAGATGGGGGAGAAACTAATGCAGGTGAGGGGTTCAGGTAGAGCCAGAGTCTGAGGCACAGTGTGAGAAAGCGCTGGTGGTTTTGTAGTAGAGTCAGGTCCAGGGCTCCTTTCCTCACCCACTGTGCCCTAGACTGAGTTCAGCTGTGATTGGCAAATTCCTTATCTCTAGGTAGTTTAAAGAAAATATAAGAGTTTGGGGGGTGGTAGGAGAATAACTGTAGAAAGAACCTAAACTATTCTCTCCCCAGGAAATTATCTTGTATAATGTTTAACAACCCAAAGGCCAGATCTCCCCTTTTAAAGTGAATGAGAAGGAGGGCGGCAGTTGGACCTAGGGCAGAGGGGCCACACTCGAAACACATTACAAAATGGGAATATATTTCAGGGAATCCCACCCCCACACTTCCACTCCACCTCACACCTGTTGGTCCTGCTTAGTGGGTGACTGATTGATACCCGAGGTCTGCCCCACCTTTAAATTCCTGCAATTTATGCTGCAACCAACATCCCAGTGTTTGCCCTCTCCAGGAAGAGGCGGGGTGGGCGAGAACCTATGGTCCAGAGCCTGAGATCACCTGGCTGGGGTACAGGCTAGCAGGAACCCAGTCTAGATAGAGTGCAGTGTTCGCTAAAGCTATGGATGGTTTCAGTGAAATGTCTGTGTCTGACAATCGTCATGCAAGAGTGCTACTTACTGTCTTCCCTTGTACATACATTGTCTGTGTTTAGCTTTTCCTAGTATTGTGAGGTTTCAAATAGGGGTTCCATGTAAATACTCTTTCTGCTACTGAAATGCCAGCCCCCTGGAGTATGCACCACCCCCACAAATGGTTTTGCCTTTCTCTATGCTAACACTTTTTGAGCCACTGATGTGCAGATTGATGGTTAGTTTCTTGGGCTTTTATTTTGCAATTTTATATGTATACACATATATAATATATATATTTATGGGTTGGTTTTGTATAGTTTTCAGTTTGAATCTCTGAGCACCAAAGCTGCCCTTTGATTTTCACGAGAACTTTCCAAAGCCACTTCCTGAGCCCTCCTGCTGCTTTGGTGTCTGACGGTGATGCTGGGGTGGCATCTCTGCCCATGGATTTCTGTATGTGTGTGCTGTTACCTCACCTGCAGATATGACCCTAGTAAATCTAATGTGCTTGGCTTCCCAGTGTGTGTGCCCCATCTCTGTTAGCTCCTCCGTTCTCCTGGCTCCTAGGGGAGCGAAAGTCAGAAAGGCGGCCCTATGGAAACATGGACCATGCAAGAAACTTGTACCCTTGAGACCATTTCTCACATGTGGAAACCTGAACATGTGTCTGCTTGTGTTCTGATGTGGGAAGGGTAGTTGTAAAATACTAGACTCCCCTGAAAAGGAAAAGGCCATGTGGATTTGCACAAGCACAAGTGTCACAATGAGTGTACACCATGTGTGTACACCCTGTGATATTATTTGTAATATCCTGGGAAGATATTTCTTCTAATATTTCGGTGGTGTACACTCTTTCAGATTATTTGTAATATTTTAGATGTTACTTGTAATATCACAGTGGATGTACACTCTTTGAAATTATTCATTATATCCTAGGAAAAGATATTACTTTTAATATTACCATGGGTGTATACCCTGTGTGTACACCCTGTGAGTTTATTCATAGTATGGGTTACTATGAATAATCTCAAACATTGTACACCCACTGTGATATAGACTAGGGAAATATTACTTTTAATATCACAGTGGGTGTCCACTTATTATTCATAATATCACTCCTAGAAAGATATTACTCTGGCTGGAGATTTTGCTCAGTTCTGTTCTAGCTGTTTATGCGGACAGTCACTGTGTTCAGCCTGCAGGCTCCATAGCAGGTGTCTTCCTCTCCTGGAGGTCTCACCTCCCATCAAGGAAGAGGTCAGATTGCTGTCTGATGTCTGATCTCTAGACTGAAGGCCATTTAGTGCAGGACTCACAAATAACCATGGGGCAAGGCAGGCGGTATGCATGAGTGGCATGGGCAAGGTGTGAGTTGGGGATACAAAAGGGAGTGGTGGAGGCCAGGTGCGAAGGCTCACGCCTGTAATCCCAGCACTTTGGGAGGCCGAGGTGGGCAGATAACCTTAGGTCAGGAGTTTGAGACCAGCCTGATAACCTGAGCAACATGGAGAAACCCAGCCTTTAACAGAAAATACCAAAATTAGCTGGATATGGTTGTGGGCACTTGTAGTCCCAGCTACTTGGGAGGCTAAGGAAGGAGAATCATTTGAACCCAGGAGGTGGAGCTTGTAATGAGGCAAGATGGTGCCACTGCATTCCAGCCTGGGTGACAGAAGCAGAGAGAAGGAAGGAAGGGAGGGAGGGAGGAAGGGAGGGAAAGAACAAGAGAGAGAGAAGGAAAGAAAGAGGTGGGGACTGTGGCTAACTGAAATCTGCGCACCTTGTCAGACGCTGTAGACTCTACCCGAATCCAGTCTCCTAGTGCCTTGTGAAGATGTGGCCTAGTGTTGCCAGATCTACTTTGAGAGACCATAATTCCAGATCTTTATTTATTGGTATTTGTATTTATTTTTTTGAGACAGAGTCTCCCTCTGTCACCCAGGCTGGAGTGCAGTGGCGTGATCTCGGCTCACTGCAACCTCCACCTCCCAGGTTCAAGTGATTCTCTTGCCTCAGCCTCTCCAGTAGTTGGGATTACAGTCATTCACCACCATGCCCAGCTAATTTTTGTATTTTTAGTAGAGACGGGATTTCACCATGTTGGCCAGGCTGGTCTCGAACTCCTGACGTTGTGTGATTTGCCTGTCTGGGCCTCCCAAAGTGCTGAGATTTCAGGCGTGAGCCACTGCGCCCAGGCTTGGATTCCAGATTTTTATGTGATCTCTCCAAATTTTTAAATACTGGCAACTTATTTAAAAACAAAACAATACAAACAACCATAAAGCCCCATGTGTGCCAAACATACCTTGTGAAGCTGACCTGACCAGCAGGTGGCTGTTGCGTGACCTCTCAGGAGGATGCCCTCTCCCTTCACCCAGTGGTTGCAAAATATTTCAGACAGAAAACCAAAGTTCTCTCTGGGTGCAGTTGGTTGGCTCAGAAGCTGACAGAGCCTGGTCTTTGTACAACCCCATCCTTCCCCTTTCTTTCTGTCAGTTGTTTATGGGAGGATTCTCAAACTGCTCTGGAGAATGTTTCTACCTTTTAATTCTAGTGTTGGGTGACCTGTTATTTTCATGTTGGTTGGGGATACCAGGAGTTGGCAGAGGCTCATTCCAGAGCCCTTGTGGGCTGAATTCTGCCACTTCTATAAAATCTTTGAAAAGTAGAGGGTGAGTCAGGCACAGTGGCTCACACCTGTAATCCCAGCACTTTGAGAGGCCGAGGCAGGCAGATCAGCTGAGGTCAGGAGTTCAAGACCAACCTGGCCAACAAGCTGAAACCCTGCCTTTACAAAAAACTACAAAAAGTAGCTGGGCGTCGTGGCAGGCACCTGTAATCCCAGCTACTTAGGAGGCTGAAGCAGGAGAATTGCTTGAACCTGGGGGATGCAGGTTGCAGTGAGCCATGATTGTGCCATTGCACTGCAGCTGGGGTAACAAGAGTGATACTCTGTCTAAAAAAGAAAAAAAGAGGCCGGGCGCGGTGGCTCACACCTGTAATCCCAGCACTTTGAGAGGCCGAGGCAGGCAGATCAGCTGAGGTCAGGAGTTCAAGACCAACCTGGCCAACAAGCTGAAACCCTGCCTTTACAAAAAACTACAAAAAGTAGCTGGGCGTCGTGGCAGGCACCTGTAATCCCAGCTACTTAGGAGGCTGAAGCAGGAGAATTGCTTGAACCTGGGGGATGCAGGTTGCAGTGAGCCATGATTGTGCCATTGCACTGCAGCTGGGGTAACAAGAGTGATACTCTGTCTAAAAAAGAAAAAAAGAGGCCGGGCGCGGTGGCTCACACCTGTAATCCCAGCACTTTGGGAGGCCAATGCAGGTGGGTCACTTGAGGTTGGGAGTTTGAGACTAGCCTGACTAACATGGAGAAACCCCCTCTCTACTAAAAATACAAAATTAGCCTGGTGTGGTGGTGCATGCCTGTAATCCCAGCTGCTTAGGAGGCTGAAGCAGAAGAATTGCTTGAACCTGGGAGGTGGAGGTTGTGGTGAGCTGAGATGGTGCCATTGCACTTCAGCCTGGGCAACAAAAGCAAAACTCCATCTCAAAAGAAAATTAACAAATAAAAAATGATAATAACCATTTACACTCATTATGTGCCAGGCCCTGTTCTAAGTGCTTTGCAGGCCTGACTTATTTAATCTTCACAACTCTATGAGGTAGGTGCTATTATTAATTCCATTTTGAAGGAATGGAGACTGAGTCACAGAGAGGTTAAGTAACTTGCCCAAAGCTACACAGCTAAGTGGGAGGGCCAGTATTCACCTCCACATGTCCAGTGCTTCTGAGGTCTGAATGCAGTGTGGTCAGGAGGCGGCATGTCCTCAAGTGCCAACTGAGCTGGCTGTGGAGAGGCAGCTGGTTCCTCCATCTGCCTGGAAGCCTCCAGAAAGTAGACACTCGCTCCTTTATCTCCTCGCCCATGGTGCTTAGCATATAGTAGATGCTTATTAAATGCTGGAGGAATGACTGAAGCCAAGTAGTGGAGACAAATATATTACTATTAAGTACCTGCTGTGTGCCAGCACTAAGCACTTTCCCACTCATGAAGGTTGAGTCATTCATTTTACAGAGGGGAAAACTGAGACTCCGGGGGTTTGTGACATGGCCTGCTAAGAGGCAGAGGCAGTATCTGAATCCAGATCTCACTCCAGCAAGTGAGTGGGAACAGGATGCAGATGGTGGATGCCGAACATGAAGAAGAAAAGAAGAAAGCACCGAGGCTGGGATAGAGAAAGCCTGGCTGGCCTTTGTGAGCATGGGGGGAGCCTTGTAGGGGAAGAGTGATGGGTGGGAATCAGTGTAGCAAATGCAGGTGGGCGAGGCACGCCCCAACCCTTACCGGCGACTTTACCCAGAAACCCACCAGAACATGGCTTTGCGGGGGAAGGATGCCCCTGCCTTTGCACAGGGGTTCTGTAACAGACAAAAGTGGAGAAGGGGAAAATCTTGGTCTCACATCCCGTGGTGAGTATGTGGGAAGGGCAGGAAGACAGGATGAACTGACTTTGTTTTTTTTTTTTTTTTTTTTTTTTGAGACAGGGTTTTTCTCTGTTGCCCAGGCTGGAGTACAGTGGTGTGATCTTGGCTCACTGCTACCTCTGCCTCCCAGGTTCAAGCGATTCTCCTGTCTCAGCCTTCCAAAGAGCTGGGAATACAGGTGTACACCACCACACCTGGCTAATTTTTTTGTACTTTTAGTAGAGACGGGGTTTCACCATGTTGGACAGGCTGGTCTTAAACCCCTGACCTCAAGTGATCTGCCCACCTTGGCCTCCCAAAGTGCTGGGATTACAGGCGTGAACCACCACGCCCAGCCCTGACTGTATTTAGTACTGAAAGTACACGTCAGGGTGCCCTGTCTCCTTCCCAGAGGTGCACACCAATGAACTTGGTGCTTCCCAGCAGGCAGGGCAAAAAAGGGATTGGGCCACAGGACTCACAATGTCCACAAGGTAAGAAGTAACCGTGGCTCAGAAGAACAACTATGATTATACTGAAACCAAAACCTTGCTTTGTTTCTCAAAGCAGGGACCCTGCATAATGAAGACAATGAGGTCCTTGACAATATCCCTCAGCAAATGATGTGGAGAGAGACCTGTCCTGAGATTTTGTCAGGTGCTCCAGGGAGATTACACCAGTCTGTACTCTTTACCAGTAAGGCATGACAGTGCCCATTTCACCACATATTTGCCATCACAGCTTTTCAATTTTTAAATTTTGTTGCCACTCTGGTAGGGGAAGAAATATTCCTATGACAGTTTTAGCTATATTTCTTAATTTCGAGCAAATTTTGTTTTTGAGACATGATCTTGCTCTGTCACCCAGGCTGGAGTGCAGTGGTGCAATCATAGCTCACTGCAGCCTTTACCTCTGGGACTTAAGCAATCCTCCTGCCTCAGCCTCCACAGAGCTACTCTGCAGTGGGACTACAGGCGTGCACCACCACATTTCGTTATTTTTTTAAAACTTTTTGTATAGATGGGGTCTCCCTACATCGCCAA